ATCCATAATTATGAGATTGAAAGGTGTACTAATATTATTGAACAGGGCATGTTAGATCGCATTATATGGTCAATTTAATATTAATGTGAAATCGGATAAAATACATTTTATGCCTCTGAATTTAGAATGCCTACCAGATACCCTTTCTATCTGCTAAATCCTCCAAAGAATGAAAGGATATTTGTACAGATTTTTAGAAAAAAAATCTCAGTTATTTCTTGGTGAAAATTGATTTTCAGGTACACTTCATTTCTGAGAATTTACAGGAGAGATTTACGGTGAGGTGTGAGCAAACTGTTCAGCTGATGCAGAACATTTTAGTTATTCGATAAAAGAACTAAGCTTGTACATTTTATTCAATTAATTTTTTTTGACCACTCAATCTTGCATCACCCATCTAGTCTACAATGCAGTGAGTTAAAGGGGCCAATGTTCCTTTGAAAAAAGTTGATGACCATAGCTGTTTTTTGTTTTGTTCGCAGTTACAAGATGTAGCAACATAAATTTGTCAAACTACATCATCATGTCATTCTTGCATATCACAAGCTCTTTTTTTAAAATGGGTTGGGAGGGGGGGGAAGGTGTGGGGAATGTGAAATTCATTGAATACCATCAGAATACCATCAAGCGCTCTGAGACGCCGTCCGGCGTGGAGGGCGCTGTATAAATCCAAGTTGTAGTTTAGAACTGAGCCTATGAAAGGGAAGGCCAGGAAAATTGAGAATATGGAACCACAAGTACCTTAGGAGACCATAGCTAGAGTTGAAATAATCTTCAGAGAGAAAGATAACTAAGGATATAAAGGGATATGAAGAACATGCATTGAAATAGAGAGTTGCGATTCACTTTTATAGCAGAGAAGTTGTGCTGAGCCAAATGACTTTCCCATTATTCTCATTCAATACTACAGATATTTATTCTTAGTAGGAATAATAATAATACTTGCATTTGAGAGAGCACCTTATCACATCATTGAGACATCTCAAAGCGCTTCACAGAAATATACTGTGGTTTCCTGATTTACCCACAGTATAAAATTCGACATCCAGTCAATCTGCTTGAATGACTTTTCAGGATTCTCAGCACTAAATGCACTGTGGGTACTGGAGACCTGACACAACTTAAGTTTATATATATGTATTTATATAGATAGATATATAAAGAAAAATGTATGTGATATTTGCCACTACTCTGCAAAAAAAAAGCCTGAAAGGAATCTTTATATCATGTTTAACTGAAATGAATTGGACGTACATAACAGACACCATCACAGTGATGATTTCCTGTCAGGACGTAAACATGGTAAATAGTTAATCTCCAGTCTACCATATTATTCACTTTGGAAAACGCCATTTCTAGAATCTCTCCTTACTGTAGTTACAAAAATCAGTTCAAAAGTTAAAGATCACATTATTTTTGGAGTGTTGGAGCACTGCCAAAATTTCATAGCTTCTTTCAACACTTGAAAGCTGATTCCAGCCAAACAGGTATTTTTGGAAAGGGGGCTTGGTGTCATGCATCACATGTAAAATATATTCAGGCACAAAGGGGCAAACCTCATGACTAAAAAAAACTGAAAACACCATGCAGGTAATGGAAATCTACAGTAGATGAATCAGTATCCGAAACAAAATGTGTAAAAAATTGAAGTGTTGCTTGGTACAGCAGAGGGAGCTCCTGATCAGTAAAAGCTTGAATTGTTGCAATATACCAACTTGTAAAAGTTTTTTCCACAAGTTGTTCCGTGCCGTCATGTGTGAAGTCAGGCCTCAAAACATTAACGTGCAGAAAATTCAAAATTCAAAAAAGAATATACCCAATTTGTCGACTAACAATGAGTTAATGAGATCGAGCACATAGGTAGTTCATAAGGCAAGGAAGAGATTGCAATAAGCTATAAAGGATTGGGAGGCGAAACAAAACAAAGAAAGCAAGAGGAAAAGCAAACACACAAAATTTACTTTTGCCCTGTTTATGCTCTTAACTAGAAGCAAGGACATCCTGAGTTTCCCATACAACTCTTTTTCCAGTCAACAGTGAAAATACAAACATATTTCTTTTTCAGTAAACTGGACTAATTTATTGCAGATTTGCTGATAGCCAAGGAACCAGTCTCACTGGTTGTGGTTTGGACTTGAAAGGTCTATTCCCTGTGTGCGAACATATTGTTTGATTGTCGTACTATGGTACGACATTATCATTGGGTGATGCAATATCAATTCCATCCACTCTCTGTATAGCTGAGGCGAGAAATTCCGACCATGACATTTAATGTCTCCTTCAAAATTACCAACAGAAAACTATTTGATGGAAATCACAGCACTGCAGATCAATTCAATCTAAAAAGCCTGAGCTAAGGCTGTCTTATATCATGATCCTAATTCCCTACTTTTCCTTATACCCTGCTGTGCTATATAGTATATATATTTTTAAGTTTTCATTTATTCACCACAATGTGTTTGCATCCTGAAAGATTTTTTAAAAATTCAGTGTAAGAGGCCTTGCAGAGCTTCAGTCACTCAGCATAGCTCAATGCTCATGGTACCCTGCAGAATCTGATATATATTGCAGTACCGTGTTGAAGTAATCTCAGCAATGCGCACATCCAGGCCTGTTGAGCTGGCTCTAACAGATATGTATGTTCAATGTATGGCAAGCCCAAAGTTTTTTGTAATCAGGTAATTATAGCTATTACTTGAGGACCGCTCATTGTCGGACATGATGGGATTTATCACATCTTGGAGTTCTGATGCTCGTGCTGTGAATGTTCTTGCTGATGGTAGAGAGAAAAGTTTGTCAGCTTTTGTGACATTACGGTTAAAAATAAAATCCCGCTTGGAGAGTGTGGAGTTGCTTCTTTTTCTGAGCACTAGGGATAAAGCATTTGCGGGTGACAAGCCGAGGCAAGGCCAGTCTCTGTCTCGGATTCTGTGACTTCTGTTGACTGCCTTTTCACCTAATTTCCAAATTCAGGCACCTACTTTATTACAGACCCCTGAGGTGAAAGAAAACAAAGGCAACAAAATAACCCAGAACAGTTTAATTTAGATAGTTCCCCTCCACACATGTACAAGAAGGATTGGTGAGAACAATGACTGGCACCACCTTTAACATTTACAAGGTTATGGAAAGTGTTCAAATGTTCAATGATTACAGCCACAAAGGAATAATACTGGGGAGAGTGGATTGTTCCCTTCTGTATTGGTGCCAGCTAGTCTCCAGCTGCTGGCTACATCACTTACCCATGGCAACATGACTAATTGCACATTTAACAGTAAACTGCTGAACACGCTGCATTAAAACACTGAGCGACAGTGAAAGGAAACTCATACATAAGCTACCTTCAATTTGTTGACCCATTTTAATGCATCACATGGCTGAGGGGGGTGGGGGGGTCGGGGAGGAGAATGTTAGACTTGGAAAAACTCAGTTCATTCTAGTTGTTTTAAGAAAAATGTAATTTGAGAATGGATTTGGTTTTAATATTCTAGAATATGGATGCTTTTGAATTCAATATGTATTTCCCATGTTATCTGGTCCATTTGGCTGTACTGTTCATCCACAAAATACACAGCCACTCAACTTTACAGTATACCTTGTGAAGAGCTTTGAGACGTCAACATTTGGATGGATTTTAAAAATGGGATCACTTTATCTCAGGACTTCTTTTACTTGTACTGACTGAAGAATTAACTATCACTGAAGGATACTTTTAATGTACCAGTACACATCTGACCATCGGGACGTGCCCCTATTGTTGTGAAACTAACTCCAGTTTGTGGGTGCAATCGAAATGGACAAGTGATTTTTCTCATTGTCTGGGTTTGTTTTGAAAAAGGGCACAATAGGAAATACGTGTGCCTTGGAATAGATCACGGGACTCCCTCTTTCACCACTGAAAATAGGAATTTGTTAGCTACCACTAATGTAGAGGCAAATCCCATTATAAAGAGGCAACAAAAACATCACTGCTTTTTTAGCAATTGACCTTTGATAGATCCCATGTATCTGTAAACATTCATTTGTCATTTCAGGAACAGGAGATATTGATTTTTCATCAAACCTAGTAAGGCTTTCACTACCTTTGGCTTCTTTCAATGCTAACCAAGGTAAAAACACATCTGCTGCATATTTTGCACAACACAAATTTATATTGTGCCTTTCACATCAGGAGGATGTCTCAAAGCGCTTTGCCATAAACACCAAATGGTTATTTTAAAAATAAATTGGCGAAATTAGGTTTAAGTGTCTGTAATTTGCTAACTCAATCCAACCATTCCAATAAATCTCATTAAGGCCACATTCGTTAATTGCATGAAAAACTTTTTTTTAAATCTTAAGCTTTGAAGTTTGTAAATGAGAGGGAAAAGCAACATATTTCAATATGTTTTCAATAACTCAGATCAGATCTTCAGAAGTTATGTTTCCAGAAGCTTACTATGTTAAAAAGTCTTGGTAATTCAACCCTATTGCAACCTTTTCAAAACACCTCTAGTAAGAGAAACCAAAACCTTTCTTAGTTTACCAGCAGTATGGCTCCAGTTAGTTGAGAGAAGAAATTATTGAGACTGCAGATGGTGAATTATCTGATTATTCATACTTTCACTGAAAATAGAAGAATGGAGTTGCTTTCATTAACGAGTTGGTAAATGAACAAATATATTTGGGTCAAAACTATTTCAATTAGCAAAATTTTGACACCATGTTCACCCAACTTAAAATACACATCTGAGAACCTAGATATTTTGCTGCCTTGTCGGATAATTTCTATTTAAAGTCTATTGTTTTCCAAGTATTGTCAAATCACATGTTTAACTTCACAAGGTTCCTGACAGTTTGGTGGGCAAGGGCACTTCAGTTCTAAAATACACAGATGGAAGATCGCAAGTTCAATTTAGTTCGAAACGTAACTAATAGTTCACCAGTGAAAAATAGAAGGTAAACATGGAGATGTATACGCATATTTAGGCGTTAATGACCATTTTCCCTTTTTCAATCAGGAGCAAGTCATTCCTGTTTTCTGCAGTCTACGCTGGATTGATCTTTGCAGGGCAGTATTACATGAGAGAAAGGACAAAGTTTGAGCTCCGCAAACCGTTAATGTTATGGTCACTGATGCTTGCTTTATTCAGGTGAGTGACTGAGATTTTATGGGATTGTTAAAAAGCATTTTAGATGGTTTGGCCAATCTGATTAGAGAGTGATGGCACTCGAGTTTGATTCCCCACCCTGCTGTATTCCTAATCTCAGGAACAATGAATAATAATAATACTTTGATTTGGCACTTTGTCATTGAAATGCCTCAAACACTTCATGTTTTTACTGTAAAGTGTAGTCAGTCTATATATTTGTGCACAGTAATGTTCCACCAACAGCCATTAAGTGAATGACCAATTTGGCAACTCCCATAAGTCACCAACACACATTCAATACCAAAGCTTGAAGTAGGGAGAAAGAGTTGTCTTTCAAGAACAAAAATAAACAGATTGATATGCTTCAAGCAACATATTAAGCAATTCTGATTTTTCTTACACATTAGTTTACCAGTTACAAAAAAAGGATTAAAAATTACTAGACAGTCGATAATACATCTCTGCCACAGAATTGCATTTAATTTGTTCAATTGCAGATTTCTTAATAAGCGCTCCAATCATATGGTTCGTATCAACTTCATTGTGAAGCTATCACTTGGAGCATCTTGATCTCACACCAGCATTTGCACCAAAAACAGAACCTTTATTAGTCCTCCCATAAAATGGTAAAAACTAAAAAGTGGTACATAGTATTAAGAAACTAAGATAGTAGGGAGCAATGTAACCAGTTGACAGGTTTACAATGCACTGCTGTCTTTGCGCTTACTTTCTTGTTCTCTGAGCCTGTTATAACTCTTATTAATCTGCCATTAATTACACACAAGTCTGTCAAGGAATTAATTTCTAATCGTAATTCATTCATTCATTCATTCATTCATTCATTCATTCATTCATTCATTCATTCAATGCTCATTGTAAATATTTAAAACAGAGACGGGATTATCAGAATTGAGTTAACAGAATCACAAACATACAGAGGTGGTATGTGGCAGGCAAACTTTAAAATTTCCTCAAGGACAACAAGCACTGGATTTTATGACAATATGTTAATAGATTACATATGGACTGAATAATTAACTCAACTCCACAGCAAGACATATCTAGTTATCAAAAAGCTGATGAATAGTTCTTACAATATGGTAAATGGTGCCACAATCCACAAATTAAAAAATAACTTAATAAATTAAATTTGCTTGAAAAATGTCATAATACTATATATACATTTTAACCAATGCAACTAACCAATATGACATTGAGTCTTTCTTGCCTGATTTCAGGTTAAAAAAGAAACTGTAAGAGTACGGGGAAAGGGCAGGACAGTGGCACTAAATGTAAAGTTCTTTCACGGGCCCGATGGGCCAAACAGCCCCTTAGGATGCAATTCACCAAACAATACAAGAGTTTCTGTTTACCTTATTAATTGCACTCTGTTTAGTGTTGTGATATAAACAGACTACATGGCTGAGTCCTCTGGGATGTAATTTATGCTCCATTTGTCGCAATGATTTTGACTCAATAGTGTTACCATGTGAGCTCGCTCATGTGATACAAGTCACATCACATGGCTGTTTGTAATCTGAAGTTACTGTCTCTATTTTAAAGTGTTTCCTTTCCCCGTCTATTCAAATTCACCCAAAGTTATGCGTATTTGAGTGATCTTGTTGATAGCAGCACTTTTATTATGCAAAAGGTAGAGGATATGCTCCTGAAGCAATATCTAAAGGAAAAAATCTAGAGTGCAAAACTGCCCACCAGAGGCATTAATCAAGGAGCCCTACAATATGGAAAGGAAACAAGAAATGCACTCATTATGATAGTTACTGTTAAAACGCTTATACGACTTACAATACAGTAAAAACTGATGGTATTGTTTTACTTCCACTCCCAGTATACTTGGTGCTTTCAGAACAGGGTGGTACATGTGGCACGTGTTTTATACCGGTGGCTTCAAGCAATCCGTATGTGACCAGAGCTTCTACAACGGGCCTGTAAGCAAATTCTGGGCATATGCCTTTGTCTTGAGCAAAGCTCCAGAACTAGGTGAGATATCTAACATTATGTAAGTGTGGCTATAATTCAAATGAGACCCCGCTCACTTGCTTGATTTCAAGTTTGGATGTCTTGTGCTTTAACAGAAACTTCCCATGGATTTTAATAATAATAATTCTTGCATTTGATATAGCACCTTATCATGTCTTCAAGACATTTCCAAACGCTTCTCAGTAAAATACAATTCCCTTTCTCCCATCCACACCTTCATCTGATTGATACCCTGTAATGGACACATTCCAGTTTTATTGCAAGATTCTATCATGTACTTTACTCTTCCCTCCCCAATCCTGCAGAATTTCAATTTCGAAAATACCGAATCCCTTCTGCTGCGTAGTTTGAATACTTCTCACATTGTTTATTTGGGTCGGCTAGGCATTTTTGATATAAACGGAAATTCATTGCATGCTTAAGAGCATCCAAACCAGACAACAACAACAAAAACAACAAATTACATTCATAGAACGCCTTGCATGTCGGGAGGACAGGAGACAGTGTCAGACACATATGCATGCTACCTATGCGTAGGAACTTTCCTGCATCTGGAATGGCATGCACACTCCATGTCTGGAGGAATGCACTTTGCTTACCTAATTTATGAAAGTACAGTAAACCCTCAACATACCAGACTCCAGGAATCCAGAATTTAAAACTAGTTAAATGGTGGGAGAATGCTTAAGACTGCTTGGTCTAAGGAGCTTTTCGTCACAGTGGCAAAACCATTTCCAAAACCACAGAAGAATCAGAAAGCAGACCTCCATTTAAGTTAAATTCAGACCTATTTCCCTGAGATAAACAGACCTTGTTATTGCACCCTGGACCGCTCAGTCCCTCTGCTTACTTTACAATTTTTGATTTTATGTATATACAGAGTTAGGAAGAACTCAACAGAGAAGACAGGGCAAAGTGCAGAATTTGCAACCACCCTGCAAGGGATAGAAATTGCACTGCAAGTCACTCAGCATCTGTAGAAAAGCTTAACATTTCAATATGACGCTTCATAACTGTTCTCATGCAGGATTATTTGGTCAACGTGTTTTTATGTTCCTTTCAGGTACTGAATGACCTGCAATATATTTCCATTATTGCTGTTTTTATTAAACTGCAAAGAGCGAATAAGTTTTCTGGTCGAGGCTAAAATGGTTCACAATTTGGTTCAATTTTGCTGAATGTTTCAATATGTTATGTTACAGGAGATACCCTGTTCATTGTCTTACGGAAGCAGAAGCTGATATTCCTGCACTGGTACCACCACATCACAGTGCTGCTGTATTCCTGGTATTCCTACAAGGATATGGTCGCAGGCGGAGGCTGGTTTATGACTATGAATTACGGGGTCCATGCTTTTATGTACTCGTATTACACACTACGTGCTGCGGGCTTTCACGTTCCACGCAGGTTCGCCATGCTCATCACGCTCACTCAGATCACACAGATGGTAATGGGTATGGTAGTCAACATATTGGTTTACATGTGGATGCACGAGGGGCATTGCCGTTCTTACATTGAGAACATCATCCTGTCTTCCATTATGTATTTCAGCTATTTCCTCCTCTTCTGTTACTTCTTCTACGAAACGTATTTAAACAGGAAGAAACACACAAAGGTAGAGTAATTGCAAAGTGCTCAAAGAAAATGTCAATTAGTGGTTAATGCACAAACGTGATAAGGTGTTGGGACTTTGGTCAGAGCTTTGTGGGGCATCTATTATTAACCATGGAACGATGTAGACTTCTGTAGTACCACATATCCACTACTTTCACATGTCGTTGACTGACATCTCCTCTTAGAAACACCAATAAAGTTGGAATTACTAGGACGTGCAAATTCCCACGTTGTTGAAGAAATAAATTTCAACTACGCCTGGGTTGCCTAAGCTGCGCGAGTTAACTCACAAAAAGGTGTAGATGCAAAAAAGTTTCCAGAGTCTTCTGCTGAATGATTTCATGTAAACATTCAGAGATGTATAGAATACTTTCAGGAGAGCACGCAGAAGATTTCATTCATGGCTTTGAAAAGTGAGACATGCAGATTCAAATGAATGAATAAGCCATATGTTGACTTGCTTTGAAACTGCATTCGAGCTCCTTGTGTTACTCTGAAGTCAACCATTTTATTCAGGGAAAATGTCAGGTGAAAACAGATACAATGCTGTGTCTTTGTGGAATTTCTAAATGGGAATTCCTTCCTGTTGACCAGCGGAACTCTGTCCCAAACCAAGATTGCATCAGAGAGGATATCCTTGCACGTTGCTGCGACATACTTCCACTTTCTGGAAGATGTTCTCATTTGCACAACATGGGTTCCTGTTTAAGTGCTGTCCCGGGGAGAAAGACCTCAAATGAGTCAGCATGATTTCAAAAATAATTTACAGTGAAAAATACAAGATTGTCAGTTTCAGCATAACTGAGATTGTGCACTAACCGCTGAAAAGCTTGTGGATTGTCTGAATACATTGCTCTTTACCACACATTAAATCCCACATTAGTATTTTTGATTGATCTGGCAGGAAACAGTTTAGTTATAGGTACAATCTAGGTGTAGAATTTAGTTCTTTGTAATGTTTAACCTGCTGATTAGCAATACAATTGGCTCTGAATTTCCTTCTGAAACTTAAATTGACCATAATCTAATTAAGTAATTACTCAGTGCTTGAAGGATGTGTTTTTAGGAGTCCTTTACAAATAATATATTTTAAAAAAGTATAGTTGACTAAGTGGATGCCCATTTGGTGTAAATACATGCCAATGCGTCAACTTGTTCCTATGATCAGCGAACTGTTGGCTAAACCATAAAATGTTTTAAGTTTCACAGCTAAAATGATTGATTTTTATAGAACATTGTTTTGTATATCAAAATCCACCTTTCTCTCATTGCTCTCTTTGTTACACCGTCCCTATATCTCGGGCCTGACTTTTCACACATTACTTTGTGAGCTGAAGCCCTTGTGGGCAGGATAGTCCCAGCTGGACATATCTTGTGAAACTTACCAGTGCTTCCTATTAGTAACCTGTCCATATACCTGGTTTAAAACAAATGTACATTTTACATTATTACAGAATTGCCCCCACTCATGTCTCATTAGTATATATATAAGGTCCAAGGACGTAAAATAGGGATGAAGTTTATTGACCATTTGGGACCATTGTGATTAAATAGAGTACAAATGCTACCATGTTAAGAATCACTGAACAAATGTATAGTTCCGATAACAATGAAATATCTCAAAACACAATGGTCTTTACTTCCAAAGTTCCCCATTATAGCTTGTGCACCATGAACTCAAGTGAGTGGCCAACTCGCAGCTTCATGACCTCCAGCAGTGCTTCTATGTGATTCAGGTACTGCAGCAATGCCAGAGGTGAAAGATCTGCCCATTCTCCTTCTCTGCTAATAAACTACACGTGTTGGATCCTGCAGGTAACAGTCCAATTGAGGTTTGCAACAACAATTTGCAGCCCACAGAAAACCTTGTGCTGATGTCAAGTGAGAACTGGGAGTAAGCGCAGGGCTCCCAGACTTGGTGATGATAGCTTTCCACCCTCCCTTCACAGGGAGTCTATAGATATCCTGACCCAAGCACAATATGGCATTTCCAAGAAAAATGGTGACACTTGTAGCAGGATTTATCAGTACCACCACATGAAGGTGAAAGTTTAAAACCAGAAAAACAGTCAAATTTAGAAAAAGTTGAAATTTGTTTATTTTTCCAATCAACTCAAATGAATATATGAAGCTGGAAAGATCATAAGATTTTAAAACTTTGAGAAAGCTGAAAGCAATCAAGTTGCACATTTACGATTGAATGTTTGCTGCTGTTCTTTCACTTTTTTTTGTGTGGGGTTGGGCAGGAGTGGAGAGCAAGTGTTGTATTATAAATCCTTCTGAACTATCAATTTAGATTGTCTTTGTGACATTGTTTTTGTCATACAATAAATACATCAATAATTAGTAAGTGATTATTTGCAAGGAAAAGGGAATGATGCTGAGATTCGATGTGTTTTAAGTACTGTGGCACAGGCAGGCATCTGTGTGTGGAACAAAGGGTAGTGATGTGGTTCATCCTAAGCCAATCTAAAATGATCAGGAAGCAGAGAAAGCCCATTCTTGGTCAAAAGATGAAGTGAGGAAAACTGTAAATAAAACAATTTATAAATTATACTGATGCTAGTTGCCTCGTATTCCAGAAACGATAGGTTTATGGGTAAAAGGTACACTATTCAACCTTACTGTGGTAACATTTATCTCCGCTGCTTACTGCAGTGCTTTATCGTGAAGCTAACTGCTGAATGAAAACATGCATTTTATATGTAAAGCTTGTTTTGAGGGTTGTTATATTACATTATAATTTCCTTATGTTCATCTACAACTCAAAGGGCTTTTAAAAATTTATTTATTTTTACAGAAAAAATAAAAGTGAAATATAAAAAAAATCTGAGAATGCTTTTCGCTTTGGTACCTGGAGCTGGTTGACTGTACCTTGCTGCGTTATGGTAATTGGTAGAGTTTTTAAGATAAGTCGTCACCTTTAAGTAACTTTCTCCCATTGTCCCTAGTGAGAATAATGTAGAAAGACTTGAATGTATTACTGTTGTGTTACAAGGAGAATCTGAACCTTTTCAAATTAACGTCATTTTAAACCAACATTCAGGGCAAAAAATGTGCCTCAATCTAAAAGATGTGAATTATTTGCCTCAAATACACCGTTTGTTTTTGAAACACGCATTCAAGTCAAACACTTGACATTGTTTAGTTCCCATGGAAACTGTGCCCCGATATCCCGCATCAATGGATATGATTTGCAACCAGTCAGTAACTTACAACTAAATTTTCTGATAACACCTTATTTTTTGCTTCTTGTTGCATGCTGCAAGACCGATAAATTTACTGATCAAGTGGACAACATGGATTCTCACAAATTTTCTACATTGCACCTTCCATGATATATATCTGTATATTTTTGAAAACCCTAAAATATTAAGTAGTTCTGAGCATATACCTTCCTAGGAAAATGGAAGCTATAAAATAATGTGGCTTTGCATGCTATTATTAGCTTCAAGTTGCCAGAAAGCAGTTCCAATAGTACAAAGCGTGAAAAGTTTTCATTAGACAAATCGAGTGTGGTTCTGACAGCAGGAATGTAATGTGATGGCCTACCTTTTGGTTATGGTGTCAAATGAACATTAATTGTAACCTTGAGTAAGCAAAACGCTCAGACACACTCAGCCATTTCACAGTGTAATTACATGTTTAGTGTTGAAGGTAGTTTGAACACTGAATTCTTCCGTCTGTCATGAGTATTCAAAAACGGGCATATTACAAAGAGAGCAAGAACATCAGGGATTTCTTTGTTGAAAAGCTTAGGATTCTTGTAATAGATGGAATTAATTAAATTATGAAAGAATGAAGGGCGTATATAACTAGCAGCCTAAATCCTACGAACTGTAAGAAATAAAGCAGTTTCGCTTGAATACTTTTAGCTTAGTATTGTCTTAAATGGCTCAAATAACAACTAATACACTGCAAAGAAAGTAAGTAATATTTTACTCTGTAAAATTTGCATATTGTTTCAGAATCCTAAATCCAGATGCTAATCCTTAAAGGGATACAGTATTCAAGGAGTAAGGATTTGGTAAGCCTTTTAGTTTGTCAGCATGCACATAAGAATAACAGCATTGAATCAATTTACCATCACTTTAGCATATAGCCACCGAGACAAATTGTTTGTCAAACAATTCCACAAAGGCATGGATTTGCAAAGTCTAACACCCATTGATAAATCTTGTGCCAAAAGTGAATTTAAAAAATTAGTCACACTGAAATAAAGATGGATCATTGTTTTTGTTTTTCATGGAATTTATACCCCGGCATATGCTGTCCAGTCCATGAAAGATTTCTACATTTAAGATAAGTTTAAATATCCTCCAGGTTATGATAATAAAACTATATTATCTCTATTATCAATTTCAAGACAAAAAAGTGCAGCAAATATCTGTCCCAATCAAATAAATAACATTTGCATTGATATAACACCTTTCAGGCAAGAGGATGTCTCAAAGCACTTCACAGGATTCACTGTAAAGTGTAGAATTATGTATTATGTATTTTCGTAGATTTATGTGGCCCACATGAAGTCATGAAGTAAGTTGTGACTATGTTGAAGTTTACAGTATAACTGCGGGCAGTTTTTAATTGAATACAAACCAAAGGAAACATGGTGGCCATGTGCAAGATAACAAGTGTGTGTATGTGCGTGTTGAGGTAAAGCAACCTGAAAGCCAAAAAAGTTGCAAATACACAATACAAATATTACAATGTGTATCTTGCTGGTGACTTGAAATATTTGTCAGCAGGTATACATGCAGCTTAATGTACATCTGCTGTACATGATCATCTCCTGGCAACTAAAAGGATATGGTCATGCTGCATGAGCAAAGCACCTCGGAAGTCATAACCATTGTGCACGAGAAATCTTGAAACTCCCAATACCATGACAAGCTTGGCATGAGTCACAACAGTATTCTGGATTTTTTTTCGAATGCATATTCCTCTTTGTATGTACCATATTAAAATGTATACATTTGTTTCACAACAAATGTTATATACACTCAGAATGTTAAGTATTCCTCCAAGTTACATATTTCCGTTGAATTCAAACACAGGAAAGCCTTCTTATACAGATCTAATCATTGAAAAGTTATCATTGAATATCTCGATTCTCCTGAGGTTCTTTGTGGAGATGGCACAATCATTAACAAACAGTCCCAATAATTGTAGGAAAAAGGCTGCGTGATTAGTAAAAATGAGTCTGAGATCAACTCTTATAAGATGAAGATTCAGTAGTTTCATTGAATCCTGATCTAGGATTATTCATTTGGTACATTATAAATGATGGTGTGATTATTGTGGTTGTGCAGCAGATGCAGATAAAATGGTGTTTTCACTTAATAAATTAAAGAGGATATCTTTGAGAAGAATTGGTATAAATAAAATGAGTTTTTCTTCTGATTTTGTAAAAAAATGTGGTCAAAATTTGGGATGTTTGCCAAACCAAATTATTGGGAGTTAACTGCCCATTCTGTGTGCATTCCTATTGCAGTTTTCTAATCATATAGCATTTTCTGTTTAAGAGGAATCATACACCACATGCTCCAATAATTTACTTTATAAAGTTTGCATATTGCCTTTCTTGCTCCAGGCACTAGATAGTGAGACAATGACTCAGGAAGCAGCACCTTCAGTGCTGCACGAAAGTTCGAATCTCTCACCCATACTGTTACTGAAATTGGAACGGTGGGCTCAAAACACAAAGCAAGTAAAAGTATCAAATGTTGCATTAATGAATATCTTGCACTATCAAATGTGCCAAAAAAGTGCACGTTGCACAGGGAGAAATTGCAAAACTCCTACAACTGCAAAATAAATATTCCTCCACGTTTACATAATGTTAAATTCAAATCTGTGAAAAGCCTTGTTCTGCAGATCTAATCATTGAAAAGTTCGAACATATCTATTCTACCCAAGGTTCTTTGTGGAGATGGCACTATCATTAACAAATGGTTGTCAATTAGAAACATTTCATTTTACTGCTCTTGGTTACCAAAGCAATAAAGAACATAATGAAATCTATTTACATTAGAGGTGGGGGTGAGAGGAAGAAAGGAGAGAGTAAAGATGTTAAAAGCCATGCCTTGCAAAAGATATCCACTTCAGACCTTGTCCAATGCAATGCCTTATCAACTACGAATTATAAATTTACATCAAGGTGTGCACTAGGATAAAACATACATTATTGTTTCCATTGTCTGAACTCTAACCGCTTTCCTAGAGGCAAAGTAGCAGTCAAGCCAACATTAGTGTTAGTTTATCTGTAGTTGTATCAGTGAAAGAATAAACACATTTCAATGTTAAAGATTTCCTTGACAGATCATCTGGTACAGAGATCTTACAATGTGCCATTATGACCATGAAGACAGCCTCAACTTGTTTTGTAAAGATGCCACTCAACAGTGTAAGTGTAATAATATTGTATTAAATCTTCTGTACATGATACATTCTTTATTCATTTGTTTTAAGAATAGCTTGTTCATTGTTAGCAATGTCTTCATTAAAATGTAAACCAATTCTATCTCTATGCTTGCTTATAGTCTTCTTTTTCTGGATCTCTTCCCTGTTATACAGCAGTTACAGTGAGTGGTCAATCACTGAATTCCCTCTGGATTTCTCTCAGATTGCAGTTATAGGACATCTAGGCATTTTGGCTATTATTAATAAACAAGTTCACTTACCGAGCTCCCTGGACATCAAGGTAACTCAGTGATTCTATCAGCTGTTGTGTTCAGATAGATCATTTGGTGCTGATTTCCATAGGTTTAGCATCACCTTGTTGTAATATGTGATCTCAAGCAAGAAATCTGGGTTCGATTCCCAGCAGGGCAAAACCTTGGGCAAGTTTCCTTACTCCACACGCTTGATAATAAAAAAATAAGAAAAAAACAGTAATAACTTGGTCACTCAAACCACAACTGTTTGTAGGACACTGCTGTGCGAAATTGGCTGCCACATTTTGCCCACAAAGTATACAGTATATTCTGTGAAGTGCTTTGAGACATCTAGAAGACGTAAAGCGCTCTATATCAAATGAAAGGATTTTTCTTATCTTGATTCAACCAAAAATATCCAATCAGTGGAAATATTCTTAGAAACCATGATACAGCTCATACAATTTTCTGACAAGGAATCCAATCTGGAATCATAATTAATCCTGTTGGTTAGACAGTTTGAACAGAGTCCAAAATCATCCAAGATCACTTTCAGTGGCTCAACAAACTTCTGGCTTGAACCAATTCTATCACTCCAATGAAGGCAAAAGCACATGACGAAATGATGCAAGTGTCCAATGTTAGCATTCTCCCACTTCACAACTAATCAAATGATGAGTTTTCTTCCACTCCCTTGTTCATCTTTCAACAAATTGTCCTAAAGAGTGTGCTGCTCTATATATTTAAGCCGTTGGGAGGACTCGAATAGTAGTCTAATCCATTGTAGATTAACAGGCAAAAGTGAATTTGGTGGGATGCCAGAAACTATTGGCATCTACAGTTCGTAATAGCAACTCTTCAGTGTCACTATAGTCAAGAAACAACTTGTGTTGCATTAAGTGCTTATTCAATAATTGGGGTTTTGAATGGAACACAATCCAGATGTAGTTTCCCTTTGTATGGTGAGAGATCCAATTGGCTTTATAAAACATCCAGTTCAATTTGTGGCACGCAACATTAGAAACCTTCTTCAGTTCACTACCACGTTATGAAACAATTTTATGCCCAAATATATTAGATTCCACTGTGGAATCCTGTAGCTCAGTGGTTAGAGCACTTGCCTTGCAAGTGAGATACCTGGGTTCAATTCCAGGCATGGTGAAACCTTGGGCAAGTTTCTTTATTCCACACGCCTAATAATAATCTCTCCAAAAAACAAAACAATAATAAATTGGTCATTTTCAATCCACGACTGTTTGTGGGACACTGCTGTGCGCAATTGGCGGCCGCGTTTCGCCCACAAATATACGGTCAATTCACTTTACAGTCTATAAGCGCTTTAAGACGTCGACATGACGTGAAAAGCACTATGTCAAATGCAAGGATTATTATTGTAGCAAATGCTTTGTGTTCCCCTCCCCCCACCTAGCACCACTAAAAAACACAAAATAATCTGTTCCTTTTGGTAATAACAGTAAACAAGCATGCCGAAAAATACATTCACAGTTTCAACCAAAAATAAGATGCGCCACCCTAGCTCCTTTATAATGCCATCATCAACAGCTGTTAATTATAATTATCAAGTAAGTCATGTCAAGTATACTATTTTGTACAGAAAATGAAGCCCAAAACAACATCAAGGCTGCCCGTTGTCACCCATCCTATGCAATGTGTTAAGCAACGTAGTGTTGGATGGCACCGAGGATGAAGGACGTCTCAAAGTGCTTCTCAGAATATACTGTAAAGTGGATTGACTATTTTGTGGGCAAAACACGACAGCCAATTGCGTTTTTTTAATTTCAATTGCATGACACTTCAATACCATATAGCATCTTAAAGTTTTTAAGCTAGCTGCACATTCAATGTGGTGCATTCAATACAGTACAGATAATATTGAATCAATCTGACATGTATATATTTTCAACGCAGAATAAATGCAATCCTAATTATAGTATTTTATCCATACCAAGCAATGGCTTTAATATTTTCATCAGCCAATTGAATTGGATTTAAGAATTTACGATGGTTGTGATTCCGGTATTTGTGGGCTCTCCAGCTGAGTGAGAACTTGGTAAATGAGCTGTTACTTGATATCTAACTAAAGGTTTCACCCACAAAATATTTAGTCAATTCACTTTACAATATATCCTGTAAAGCGCTTTGAGATGTCTCAACCATATAATATGGCGTTATATCAAATGCAAGGATTATTATTATAGGCACTTTCAAATTCTAGCCTCAGACAAGAGAACTGGCCGAACTAATTCATCCTATGTACCTGTGATAAAGCACCTCAGCTGCTCTCAAAATCCACCAGGTAACAGATCTAGAACTGATCAGGGAGGAAGTCACAAGGGCAAGCTTGCATGCTACCATCTTATGGTAAGGACAGCAAATTGGTAGAAGTAAAACACTTAAGAAATGGTATTTGCATTTATTCATTCAATTTCCATTTCCTTTGAGCAATCTCGACAAGGCCACCAAGTTTACACGTCAATGACAGGATTGGCATCATATAAACAATTGTTTATGTTACAACTGCAAAAGGATGTTTAATAGTTCATAGGCACAAGTTTGCTCATTCTAATTTTGAAAAAAATTTACAAATGCACAGGAAATCTTTTTGCACATGCCCTAAGATAGGCAAACTAAAGGTTACAACAGTATATCATACTCAAAAGGTTTAAATATCAGCCACAATAAAAGCATCCTGCAAAACTAGAAAAGAAAGGACAATGGACACACAAGTCATTACTTGGGGATTGCCTGGTCCATTTCTTTCCAGCTTTTCCAAACCATCAGATCTTTACTTTTAGCCAAAGTTACAATGAACTTGCCAGCGTGGAAGCCATAGAGCTGGCCGATCCCATCATCCCGACCTAATGATAACAGCATAGTCAGGGCACCTGAGAAATCAAGAGATGCAACATAGTCAATAAAAGAGGCCATCATTAGATCTTTACTTCACTCAACCATCTCAGTGGCTCTAGAACTGCAGATCGACACAAAATATATGAAAAGGTAATTTTCTCTCCCCTCTCAAAAAAAAACTTTTGAATTGCATTAAATATGCAACAGACCTTCCTCAGTACATTATGGCATTCAGCACCAGACATCACCTAAACTAAGAGAAAGCAAAGTCAATGTAACTGAGTCAATAAACTTGACAAGATTTAAAAATTAAAATCAGCAACATCAGCAGGCTAGGAATGTGGATAGCAAAAAAGATAAATGACAAATCAAAAATGGACCGGTTTTACAAGTGTGATAACTCAAACTGCTTGAAGATCTATTAAGTACAGTTTCTGAATTTTGATAACTGATAAATGAGTCTTTGCTTCAGGTGCAGGTACTAATGTGTAAATTGACAATATGATCATCTGGTTGATTCATGTGGCCAAATAAGCATAGTGTGTAAACACAGGAAACTTTGAACGAAAAGGATACCATGCTGGATGGCACGTAGCCAGTGCTACTTTTGAAGATTTGCGTAATTTACTTCCAACAATTTACAAGGCTGATTCGGCTCTAATGAGTAAAAAAAAAGGGTGAATGAACATTTGTAGATTCTACCAAAGCTTTTTTTTGGGGGGGTGGAGGGGCGGGTGGGGGGGGGGCAGAGAGGGGAAATATAAGCCCAGGAATTGATCAAATGCAATTTTCTGCTTCGTAGCAGAACTCTTACTAAAATGGGTGATGTAGTAGATCCCAAATTTATTTGCTTTATTGTGCATAAGGTGCTTTAGACATTTACTGAGTATTAGGTACTGCAATTATTGTCAATTGCCAAATCTGTGGTTAGGTCCATATGCAACTGTTAGAGTGTGAGGTACTATCTGAGATTCCTGTGTCAAGGAGATGAGACTATACTAATTCAGTAAGCAAATTACTATAAGTGGATAAATGTTAGCCTCAGGCATGCAGATCTGGAAGGGTAAAAGGCTGCAGCTTCTTTTGTGTAGGTGAGTTGATAAAGAATGATGGTAAAGTTACAAAACAGCGAGGCAACCAGCTTTTAGTCAACCTGGACTGGTGCTGTCAGTGAGACTCAGAGGGTCAGAGAGAGGCCTCCTCCCTGACCACCTGCTCTTTTTGTGGCTTTCATACAGTATTGTGAACATGAGGTGGACAAGTTGTAAAGAAAGTTTAAAAACAATTGCCTGCTTTATTTGAAAAAGTAAAATAGTTATTTAAATGCAAACTGTTGCTTCCCTAATTATCATTAGTCTTAGCTAATGTCTAACAAAATCTATACCTGGGTTGTACACCTTCAGTGGCTTTTCTTTGAGAGTGTTGATGATATTATCCACAGCTACCGCCCCGTGGAGTCCAGCGTGATAAGCCATTTTAGGCTCCTTCACATCCGCACAATCTCCTATTGCATAAATATTTTCCATTCCTTCCACCTGCAGGTGCTTATTCACCATTAATGCACCATTTTTAACGATTGCATCTTCTGATAAGAAAAAGAACATGGACAGTTTTCAGTCAGACTCCTGCACTATAGTTATTACTGCTTGTTTTAATGTTTATTAAAGTTTAATATCAAATACCTGGTCTTCATTTTAATCTCGAGATGTATGCAGAGCCACACACCCCCATCATTTTAAAGCTAATTTGTTACTTTTGTTAACAAGAACCTGGTTGGCTTCAAAGGTTTTTGCTCCCTCCTCACATGGCAATAGGCAAGGTTTATGACAGGGTAAATGTTGGGTGATTTGTGGCCATTTATTGAGTCTCTTTATATTTGAGCTAGATTCATTGCCATGTTCGCCTCCCAATACATTTCACTACACTTTACAATAAATCCTGTGTTGAGTTTTGAGACATTGAAAACAAGATACAGCACGGTATGAAATACGAAGGATTATTAAAACATTCAATAACTATTGCAACGGGACTAGGACTTACTGAAAGAATTTTCATATGCAGAGGAGTTGATCTTGATTCCAGTGCAGCAGATGACCATATCGGCATTGAACTCCAGACCCTTGTCAGTCAGCACCTTCTGATCATTCTTTGTTTCATTTGTCACTAGCTCTTTCAGGTTTGTGACTTTCTGTCCTTTTGTAAAGAGAACATTGAGAAGGATTAATACAAACTTCCGGTCTGATGCAACCTGCACGTTCCAGGTTTTGTGGAAGGATCATGATGTGTGTGTGTGTGTGTGTGTGGGTGGGTGGGGGAGAGGTGTGATTCAAAATTAACTTCAAGCAGTCTGACAATCTGCCCTCCCTAATCCAGGGAATTCACACTACCACTTAGTAGAAACTTAGTTCCCTTACTGTTGCCCCATGTGAAGCTAGCATTCAAAGCAGAGATTGGAGGAAATTATCCTGGGACCATTTGGTTCTGCTTGGCTCATCCCATGACTGGCAAAGGCTGTGCCATTCGGACTATCAAAGGAGACCAAGTTGAATTTGATTACACAGAGAACCAGAATTTAAAACCATACAAGTGCTAATCACGAAATATACATAGAACACACCCAAAGTTTGACATACCTTTCCACAGCTCAACATGAACAAGACAAAAGTAAATAATTCAGCTCTCATTCTTGCTTCTGATTTTGATTGTATTAACCTCACTACTTGCACGCTTACCTCAAATCATAATCTCACCCTTTTCAACAGGAGAGAAGGATGATAATGAGGTTTACAAGTTTTAAACGCTACATCCAATCAATCCATCATAAGGGCCAAATTTTTGCCTCTCTGCTTACACTTCAGCTTATGCCCTATATCACCACAACAACAACTTGTATTTATATAGCACCCCTCACACAGGGTAGCATCCCAAAGAACTTGAGAAAATCTTCAACTTTTAAATAACTTGGGAGTAGATTCTCCAATGCTCTCCTCACTGGTTTTCCCACCTTCAATATTATTCCAGACATTGCAGCTCAAACATTTTCCCTTCCCTTTATCACCCCTATCCTTGCCATGTTCTACAGGCTTCCTATTCTTATAAGTCAAAAGAGCAGTAATTTGGTCAAAGCAACGTCCCCAAAACAGTCACAAAGTGAATGATCGATTTTATATGGCGGGGGGGGTGGGATTGTTGGCCAGAGCACCGGGAGAAACAACCTTCCCTTTCAATATCATGCCATAGGATCCTTAACATCCACTAGAGGAGACATAAACAGAACCTCAGTTTAATGTCTCATCCAAGCAGCAGTACCTCCGACAACACAATGATCCCACAGCACTAATTGGAGTGACAACCTAGACTGTGAGTTCCAAATCCCAATCTGTGGCTTGAACCCACAATCTTCTGCATTAGAGGCAAGAATGCTACCATTTGAGTCAGAATGTTATCTCCCAGGTATGATGGGTGGGGCATGTCAAAGGTACAACACAATGCTATCTCTACAAAATACACACATATAGAAATAGAATTGACCTTGGCCTTAATTTCCACATCCTCTGATCCAATTTAACATAGGCAATACTGTACCTAATTCTAATTGGACCCCTTTCTTCACCAAGATCTCCTTCACTCCTTGCCTTACACTGGGTAAGAGTTCAATATCAGCAAGAGCAATCTTTGAGTGAATCAGGATTACCTTAAAAACAAACATACATTGTGAAATCCGCAGATAACCGCTTCCAACTGATAAGCGGGCAGGAGTTTCAGAGCATTGCTCTAAACTTTAAAAACATTTTTTATCTTTCACATGAACTTGGTCAACGGAAGGAGAAATGAGACAAGAGTTCTGACAGCTTTCAACAATTCTGACAGGAATGTGCATGTTTAGGAAGGTCAGGGTCAAGCACAGCCGTAATCTCTCACATTTAAATGTGCTAACACACACTCACTGAATTTACGCCAGAAGGTCCACTTCGCTAAGGAACTAACTAAAAGGCAGATAGGGATCAAGGAACTGTGTACGCAATCAGCCACATTCTGACCAGTTCAGGAAAGGAGGATGGGAGGGGTTGAGATGAGTATGGGAGGCGTTGAGACGGGGAAGAAAGAAGAAGGTGAGAAAGCAACTACTGTCATCAACAGTCTTAGTTACTGGCACCTCTGTAGGTAACATGAGTTAGTAAGTGACAGAATTAAAAATACTATTACTTATTAGATAAATCCCAAGTAAAACACAGCAAACATTGTACAGGCCAGAGAATTGTTTTACAGGCCAGAGAAGGCTATGACAAGCTAATCCTCGGTTTACAACCGCATCAGAAATTCAGTAAAATGACTGCTTCAAAATAACAGTTATTATATGGGTTAGCAATAGTGGGAGCAACTTGTGATCATTACTGAGTATCACACAAATGTTCTGGCACCACATTAAATATCATTGACTTGAGTGTTATAACTATATTGGTTGCTACAAAGGCCTTTTAAAATACCACCAGGCTAAACAGAGTCAAAAATAACTATGTATTGAATAATTCTGAACCAAATGCTTCTCCAAATTTGCAGCCAGCCACAGGCTCCCTGCTGCCTTTCTTTTGAAACTGCAGCTGCTTCCTGTTGCAGTAGGCATCATGGAATTATACTGCACCAGAAGGAGGCCATTTGGCCCACTGTGTCTGAGCTTGAACGTGGCTGTTCATGATTAAATCTACATTTCATTCTTAACAATCAGGTATTCCTCACCAACTGTGTAAACTGCTCCGTCACCCCCCGGGGCCCCGCTCCGTCACCCCCCGGGGCCCCGCTCCGTCACCCACCCCTAGATTTGTAAATGCTGCTGCTGGAACCATTAACAAGGTAAGTATTCACCGATGACTGAGCATCATAGATCTTACATGCGACCAGAGAAGGAAGAACATTTTTCTAGCCAGCTCGGAGAAAATATATTAGAAAATTCACAATGGAGCACACCTTCTGCACTATTGCTTCCGTTTAACAAGGCCCTCCTATTCTCTCCTAAAAGCTTTTGACTCTACCCATTTACCTTCTCCCCCTAGCTGACCTGCGATGGGAAGCACCGACTCTTGACACGCACCTCTTTATCTGGGTAATCGGTTTTGATCTCTCCTGCCATTTCCACACCCGCAGAGCCACCTCCAACCAGAACAATTCTTGAAGCTTCCTGGATCTGTGCCAATAAGAGAAAATATTCAGCCCAATTTGAAACAAATCACAGCTCGTATCCATCCAACCATCTACCATTTTAGTCAAATTAAATCGCCATGATTGTAGGGTTATCCTTTCACATCCTCCCCGGCGTGAAATGTAACTTTGTTGCCGTTGTTGTTAATCAACTCAGTAATTTCACTGGGAGATTTTGAAAATACCTATAGTGAATTTTTTTGGGAATACACATACATTATGATAACACTATGAAGTTAAAATCAGCGACATATTTTCCTTCCCCACCTTTCACGTCTGTCGAGGGCACCCATGGGATGCCCTCAAAACACGAAACAACAACATTACATTTGTATAGCGTCTTTCACGTCGGGAGGACGTCCCAAGGTGCTGTATAAATATATAAAAGACGCCATATAAATGCAATTTGTTGCTTTGACATACTCTTGATTAATATTCTGGCAATTTTGAAACTTTTAATACATTTCAGGAATTCTGACGAGCTTCTGCCAAACCGGAAAGATGAGAATTATTATTTATATTTGTTTAACAAGTGAACGCCCAGGAATTTTCCTTGGTGCCCTTGAACTATGTAATCAACAAGAACATGCATTTCAGTCATACCTCTAAAGTCAAAATGTCATATCGTGTTTTACAATAATTACGCGTAGTAAATTTTTTTGGGGGGGACAAAACATGACATCCACTTTGTGCTTGGATTATGCACCTCACACCACACACCCCGATAATTAAATTGTGTCAGTAACTCCTGTTACCCATCTCATCCCTGTCATAAAGCAGGAAGTTGCACTGCATTAACTTTACACTGAGGCTTCACATTCCTGAACGCCGCTTTTTGCAACAGATTATAATGAAGATTTCAATGAATTGCTGAAATCGCATCAGTGCCTGATTTAAGAAAACTCATACAGGCTCAGGAATCAAACTTGAAAATCAAAGATGCAGTTTAACAGAAGTGGGTCTTCTACCTTTTTCACAAGGTCTTCGTACATTTGAATGGCACTCTCCATAGAAACTGGTTCATTGAATTTTCCAGGGAATGGCCCTGTACTACCAGTTGCCAAAATAAGGTGGGAGAAGTGTACAACCTACAAAACAGAAAGTACTGTGTCAGGCAGAACTGCAATGTGTGATAATCATCTTAAAGATAAGAGCATTAACTCCATTTAAGGTAATGTCAGTGTCTGACACAAACTTGATTCTATTCTTAAAGGTGGTTACCTCACCACTGTCTAGAACAACATTCTGTTTTTCTAAATCTATATCAACAACTTTGCCTTGCTTGAAGTTCTCCTTGAATGTCTCTCTGAATGATATGAATGTTTTCTTCGCAAACCCTAAAAGATAAAGGACGGCAATCAGCCGAAATTCTAGCTGATATGATAAAACATTTCAAATAATTTATTTCTTACCACACCCTGTTAACATACCACTCTCCACTGATGCCCTGAGAGCTCCTGGATTATGATGGAAAGCATCCCTTATATCGATCAGGGTATAAGGAACACCGTGACACTTCAGCTGCTTTGCTGCTGCAATTCCTCCAAAACCACCGCCAACAACCACAACGTGAACATTCTCATCTACACTTAGCTTCCCACCCATGATCCCTCTGTTAGGAAGAAAAAAAATGCATTACAAACATTCACCACAGAGAAGAAAAACATACCCCACAAATCAGCCTGTGTTTTAATTTGAAAATGTTCTTGTGCAGGTCAGATGCATGGAACTCTCATACTGGTTTGGATACTCTGAAATATAGTGTTAGTTTTCCATAAGTGTCAGACACATAGCTGACCAAATTTTGTTTTGGAAATCTCTCATTCAGTAATTTTCAAACGGGTTCAGAATGACTTTAATGGAAAGTTTAACACAATAAAATGCAGAACTAGAAGTGTTTATTTTAGGGAAGGGGTAGATTTCTACATTGGATGTTTGTGCAGTGTCAAGGGGATGTATGTCAACATTGGATGAATGAATATATTTATTTTTTGTTCATTCGGCTTTAACCTCAAGCACTTCAAATGAATATTATGTAAAGAATAATAGATGCAGAACATCGCTCCCTCCACCTATTTGGCAAACGTACCAAATCCCAACCACAGGAAAGCAACTTTGTCAATTTAACATTTCCCACCTCTGCAAGCAGCACTGCCAATTTGCTGCTGTTTGTCATGGATGGTGATAAGTATTGTGCTGTTATCTTGTGCCTGACCAAGCCAAATTAATCCTGCTGGAGTCAAATTTAGACTGCACAGGCCCACTTCATAAAGCCCATTGCAACTGCAGTGAAAATACAAAGTGTACCACTTTCACGAGGGATAAACAGTGAAATACTCAATGATTCCATTGTGGCTCTGTACCATCACACAAAACACAGCAGATATTGGGATTATCTGGAAGAATAGTTTGATCGGGATTTGCGGAGCTGCCTCGGGTTACTGTACAAGACAACAAATATTTCAGTGCTCTGATGCTGCATTCCAAATTAAGATTAATAATGTGAATTAATAATCCCAAACACTACAGAAACCTGCGGATATTTTAAGTACTTACCATGTGCTGAGTTGCTGAAAGCAGAATGCCACTTTACATTGAGAATTTAGCAATTTCAACATTGCTTTTTGTTACACAAAGTGGTCACCATTAGTTCTGGTCTGTGTAAAACATTCTGGGGTATTCCTGTGTAATGTGGCACTCTTCCAGCACTGCACTGGAGCATCAGCCTGGATTGTGACATAGGCCTGACATAGGGGATTGAACCAAAATCTTCTGGACCAAGGGTAAGAAGTTCAACCAAATGAGCCAGACACTTGAGTGGCACGCCGGGTAACAAAATGATTTCAAGGTAATTTGGGCTTAGCCTATTTCAGTGAGCGAGTAGTAAATGTATGGAACAGGCTCCCTTGGGAGACGGTGAAAGCAGAAAGTGTCAATTCTTTCAAGAACAAATAAGATAGATTTATGTTAGGAAAAATATCTTTGGCTATAATATATAGTTTGGCACATGACATGTGCAAACGACTGCCAGGATGGGTGGAAGGCGAACTGGATAGATCTGGGTCTTTCTTAATTTCTTATATTCAACCCTTACACCCAAACAGCAAAATAACATGTGTTGTTGGACAATTGCAAACTGCCTGATTTAAAACAAAAATGAGAGGAAAATAATAATAATAATCCAGGCATTTTATATAGTCCTTATCATACCTTTGAGATGTCTCAAAGAGCTTCACAGAATATACTGTAAAGTATATATTTTGTTAATTTTGTGGGTGAAACGCGACAGCCAATTGTGCACAGAAGTGTCCCACAAACATGTGGTTTGAGTAACCAATTTCTTGTTATTTTTTTTGAAGGGATTATTATCCTTGGGAAAAGCAATCCGCCAATCGACTAACAACTGGGTTCCTACTTACTGCTGGGTAAACAGAGGCATGTGGAGTAAGGAAACTTGCGCAACATTTCACCCTGTGGGGAATCAAACCCAGGTATCTCACTTACAAGGCGAGTGCTCTAACCACTGAGCTACAGGACCCCACATTTGTGTAATAAGAAAACCTTGCAAAACATAAATAAAAAAAAGACAATTTGTAATTTTCCGTTAAGATTGCGACAATTAACAGAGTAACTTAGTTAAGGTGTGCTAAACCCCACTGAATCAAATAGTCGGGTGTCAATCAGCAACCTGACAAGTAGGATAAGGTCCCGAAGTGCAGTCAAAGAAATCACAAGCGAATAACAAGATCCCCCCCTGACTCCATCCATCACTGCCTCTAAAGGGTGAACTTTCTGAGGAGCTGCTCCAATTCTCTCGCCTTGATTCCCAACGGTCACTTACTTCACTTCTCCCCAGTATTTCTAAACTTCCTTGCTCAGAACACACAACGACAACTCTACCCATCCCATCAGGCTTAACATCTCACTGCATTTAGGTGGGATAAATCAATCAATAAAAATAAACAAAAATAAATATACAGATGTTTAAATAAAACCTTAAGGCTGCTAGCCCGACCTGCTGTCTATAACACTAACATGTAAGCTCTTTACGTAACTTTATGTAACTATGTAACCTCCTTTTTTTAAAAAATATAAAAGAGAAACCGCATTTCACAAATAACATAACTTACCAGATTTGGACCTCGACCACTGGAGGCAATGCTCTTGTGCAAAGTTCACTTTGACTAACGCACACAACACAACACACACACACACACACACAGTGTAAGGTAAAGAGGTCAAAGTCCTCCTTGCAACACCCTGTGACTTGTTTAGTTGGTGGGAAGCAGCAGATCTCACTCACAAAGCGCCTCTCACCGTGAAACTAACACAGAAAGCGGTGACAACACGGTTTCTGCGTTGGGCTGAAAGTTGCATCATCGCTTTGCGTGTTACTGCGCGAATGACCAGACTCGGCCCCGCTTCCTCCTCCCCACCGGGAGCACAGCAACCGGTCCGAGTCTGGCTTCACGAGCATCGGAAGGGAAAGGTTGTTTTTTTTTCTTTGCTTGAATTTTAAACCTTTGCATTTTCGTTGCCATGTTTGTCAAAGTGCTCCAGTGTCCTGTCCTCACTGTGGGATTCAGATAAAGCGTTGTTTACGAGGACTTGAAAAACAGTGTCTTTTTGCTTCCAGGAAGGTGCTGGGAGACCCCAGCTTCTCTTCCAAATGTTTATTTCGTCCACTTTAGTACAGTAACAAATAATGATCTTTGCATTTGATACAGCACCTTATCAGGTTGAAATGTCTCACACCCCTTTACAGATTATTACAGTCAAGTGAAACGATTGTTACTGGCAAATCTGCCAGTCCACAGACCTACCCCGAATAAGCTCTATCAAATGCCCCTCATTAGTTTTCTTCGTTTTCATATTATCAGTTTGTCTCTGAAATCATCCCATCTCCAGAGCCAATTGGTAATATACAAACGATTGTTCTCCAACTCAGAATCTTGTTTTGAAATGCCACTCTCTGTGGGTGTGGTAGGGTGGGGAGGGTAAAATATGTAAGTCTGTCCAGCGTAAATAAAATGTGTTTTAAGATGTGTGGTGTGTGGGAAAAAGATACCATCTGAGCATGGGGAGGAATGAATGCGAGTCTGTGGGGTGTATACATTGCAAATTTGAGCAGCAAGAATTGTTTATAAAATTGTGTTTATCAAAAAAAGTATAAAACCAATGGACACGCAGGAGGCTTTGTGAAATCTCAGCTACATCAGGAGAGACATCTTTACGTTCTGCACATTTCAATTTTTATTCGTGTTAAAAGCAACCTAGAAAATTAGGCAAGAAAATGTCTTTGTTATTTACATCTCACAAGTGGAACAGTTTTAAAGGCAATTCACCAAGGACACCAATACCAAATATGATAATTTTATAAATATTTTCCATAGGGGGAAAAAAGAGTGACGTTTCGGATTATTGAAGTATTTTATTCAACATTAAAAGTCAGTACATTGTATAATCTAAGGTACAACCAGTTGTGTGAGGAGTATCCTAAGTGTGGTCATGGAGATTGTGACCAGTGGCGGACTGGTTCCCTGAAAGGGTTCGGGATTTTCAGGTAAAATGGGGGAGTTGTGGGACACCAATTCAGCATTAAATTTTCTGAGTTTAAAACTTTGTCAGGGCTTAAACAGGAGGATGGGAGGCTGGTACTGATTGGTTACCGTAACCATCATTCATCAGAGAGGACGAGCTCTGGATGGTGATACTTTACCACCCAGATGTCGGGCTCTAGGGTGTGAAGCATTGGGAGCTAACAATGGGGACTTTTGGGAAGCATTCAGGGGGGGACTCAGGTTGTACCAACCACATGGGCTGCAACAAGCACCTTTGACCGGGTTCCAGAGAGAAATGACAATAAGATGCTGGAGTGGTGTCTCTGCTCTCAGATTCACTAATTCTCAATCACCAAACCGAAAAAAGTGCATTAAGGGGCTAAGACTGGAGGATGACATTAATGTGCGAGGGTGAGAGAAGAGAGATAATGTGGCAGGACGATACCAGAGTATTGTTTCACACTGACAAGAATGCTTTGTTTCTGTACAAAACACCAACCAGCCCAATCAAGATCTAATAGAACTCATCCCACAAGATATACAGTCAATTCACTTTTCAGTATATTCTGCGCTTTGAGTCTCGAAGATGTGATAAGGCACTATATCAAATGCAAAGATTATTATTAATTATTATCCCCTTCACTGAATTCAAGCAAGAAAGTATTGCGAGGGTAAGTGCTGTACTACATAGCACTATCAGACTTTATAAATTAATTTAGGAATTCGACATTTGGGACACAGTGGAACATGCTGTGAATTTACACTGAAGATGATGGAAATTCTCAGTGGGAACGGGTGGAGATTGGTCATTTCAATTCAACTTTAAAATATATATTGAAATTGAATGGATGTAAATATTAGGCACCGGATCACTGAATGAGGTACTCCAGAAAGGAAGAATAGATTTATATATAGCACTGTTGGCACAAGCATCATCAGACTTCATCAGTTTGGCATTCGTTGGCCCATTTTTTTCCAGCTGTCCTTAACCAGTAGATCCCGGCTTTTGACCAGAGTCACAAATACCTTCCCGACTTGGCAGCCACACAGTTGGCCCACACCGTCATTCCGGCCCATTGTCACCAGCATTAGTGGAGAACCTGGGGTGGAAAAAGGGCACGTGGTTAACACAGGCAGACCAGAACAGCAGCAATATCTCTCGTGCAATAAGAGAACATCTTGGAACAGTTAATTGGAGTTACAAACAGTTTTAACAAGCCTGTAAATATATTCTCATAAGGGAAGAAAGAGCACAGTGCTTTTCTGCAGCCAATTTGACTTTAGAACTTGAGAATTTTATTTTGCACATCACAGAGAATTTTTTCCCCCCTTTTTCCATGCTGATTTATTTTTCCAGGGGGAAGGAAAGTTGGTGGATTTTATGTGAATCAAACAAAGGAGTAACATTATTACAATTATTGTGAGGATACACTGTTTCCACTTTGGGAACTCATTCCCCAGATCAGGTTCAGCCCAGCAAAACGCACAACAAAGCTTTAAAGCTGCTTGTAAGGCTCCCTGACACTTCAAAATGGCATCTCATGTAACATTTTCATTTTATGTATCGTATGTCCTCCTTGAGTCAGGGATATCGCACAATTGTTCACAATTAAAGCTATGTTTGTTATGTAAACTTACATCAGTTAGGAACTGAGTTAAAACACTTAAATTTACTGTCGACTAACAATTGTCAGAGAGAAAACGTTCATCCCTTTTGACTTGTCTGCATTCAAACACAGATCCCAGAAGTCAAAAAGATTAAATTCAAACCCCTACTGAATATTTTTCTTCTTTTAGAACATAGAAGCCATCTAATGGTGAAGTTCCAGAAGTGCAATTTGAAAGTGCATTTATAAAAGATCATAAGATTAATTTGGATGAAGAAGGTCCTTTGGCCCATCTGATCCCATCTACTAATAAAATTAAAGATTTATCTGTAACAATTATTTGTAAGCACAATGAAGGTTTCTCAAAGTGGATGATAATCATCGGAATAATAAGGCTGGAATTAAATTTTTGCAAAGTCATTACCTGGTTTGTACACATCCATAGGCTGATCTTTGAGGTTATGGATGATATTTTTCACACATGCAATTGCTTGGAATTCAGCAGTGTAGGCTGATTTATTTTCCAACACATCTGCACAATCTCCAATCGCATAAATATTACCCAATCCTTTCACCTGGAGGTATTCATTGACTTGTAAAGCACCATTATCACTAACTTTATCTTCTGTCAAAGAAAGCAAAAGTCAAATAACACACTTGTATCCCAGTTTGTTACTTACATTATTCTCTTTAGTAAACTGCTGACAATTGCAGTAATTCATTTGACCGTGATGGTCAGTTTATAGTATACCTACTTTGTTTTATTTCCATTGGCCAAATAGGAAACTAAACATTACACTTTTTTTACACAACTGAGAACCTTTACAATTTTATTTTGTTTCATTTGTAAAGTATTTGTGCTGATCAAATACAAAGAAACACATTTGCAGAAACAAAAGCAAAGCAATGAAAGACTTCAATTTGTGTCACTTTGTATCAAAATTATGGTTACAATCAAATTTGATGCTGAGTAAAACTCCCTCTACTTCATCAGAACAAGATGCCACAGAAAAGCACAATGAATACAATGAGCTATTTTGCATTTCCCCACACACCACATTTCCTGTGTTCCCTCTGATTGAGACGGCCATTTAGTGCTTGGAGTCCACACTCCAGCCACCAGGACCGGCACTGACACTGCTCAAAATTCCTTTCACAAACAACCCCTTAAAGCTACTGAGAGAAGACTCGTTCTGACAGACTGAAACAACTGTGAACACAGCTGAAAATGACAACGTTCAAAGTCAATGAACCAATGATCCACTGGACCAACTTTTCTAAAACAAAATATAGGGCGTGAAATCCTGTTTTTGTTGTATGGCAGGATAACTCTAAAATAAGCGAATAAATAAATCTCCCCCCTCCCCCCCTTTACCAAACACAGTAGATTATGGCAATAGTGCTTTTATGACATTGCACCACTGGGGAAATTTTAAATGGGTAAATGCTCTTATGTGACCCAGCTAAGGCTCCAATCTTTATTTGAAAATGATTTGCCAGCCCGTTGCAAGAGAAATGCAATACGTTTGACAACCAAGCAATGAAAAGATCAATTCAGCAACAATGGATACTGCGGAAAAGTGAGTACAACATTCATCAACTGGGACAGCCTAAAAACTTACTGAAGGCATTGCGGTATGCTGTTGAATTAATCTTTATTCCAGTACAGCGGATGACCATGTCAGTTACGATCTCTTTCCCCTTGTTTGTCATCACCGTTATGTCAGGCTGCATCGTATTCTCAGTTAGTTCTGCCAAGTTAGTGACTTTCTGTCCTTTTTGGAAAGAACACAGTGTAAAATATGCCATGACTGAGATTGGCAGGTACTCCCACCGCCCGTCTTCATTTCCCTGGAAACAATACAAGATGAAAGTTGCTGTTGGGGCCACGCATTGTGGTGCTGTGCCATGGAGTTATGGGTGCACATGGCTGCCCATGATCTCGGCTGTGTTACCACAAAGAAGAATCAAGGAGAAACACAAAGTAAGGCAACCAGTTGGCCTCCTGACCAGAGAACACATGCTGCAGTCAGACAGAACCTAAATCATAAAAGTCAACTAACAACAATAACTTGCATTTATATAGCGCCCTTCACATGGGGTAGGTAGCATCCCGGAACACTTGATAGTGGCAGAGTCTAACACCGAGCCAGGGGGAGGTGACCGTAAGCACGAATAAAAAGTAAGGTCTTACCGCAGGATTTGAAAGTAGGGAGGGAATAAGGCAGAGGGATTGAGGGAGAGAGTTCCAGAGTTTCAGGGCACAGTGGCTGAAGGCAAGGCCACCAGTGGTGGAGCGGAGAGACAAACAGAAGGCTGCAGAGCGGAGGCAGTGGGTGGTGGAGTGGAGGGGTTAGGCAGATCGGATAGGTAGGGAGGTGCAAGGGCATGAAGGAATTTGAAAACGAGTGAGAGGATCTTGAAGTCGATCCATTCTGTAATTGGGAGCGAGTGGAGCCTGGCAAAGATGGGGGTACTGAGTTTTGTGCAGGTGAGTAGTTGGGTGGTAGAGTTTTGGACTAATTGAATTTTGTGTATGGTGGATCTGGGGAGACCAGCGAGGAGTGCATTGGAATAGTCCAGCTGGGAAGTGACTGAGGCGTGGACGAGAACATATTCTAACTCATATATTCCAAATTTTTTATGTATTTTGCCAAAGCTGATAACTTTACGAGTGGTTGTTTTTTTAAAATAATTATTATGAAAACTAAACAGAACCATCAAACAAAAAACATTAAATCTTTCCCAAAGATGCCTTCATTCCCTGAATTCATTGAACAAACAGCATTTTATCTCTCAGGGCTCTGGTCAACAATCCCCAGATAAAATTGATTATTCATGGCTATTTGTGGGATATTGCGATGTGCAAATGGACTGGGGCATTCACCTACAAAATACACACAGTCACTACACTTTACAGTGAATACTGCGAAGTATTCTGAGACGTCCTCCTGATGTAAAAGGTGCCATATCACAGGCGAGGATGATTATTATTACCTAATACAAGTTGAATTCCTTTATGAACAAGAATATCCTTCACTCCACGTCTCACACTTGGTAAAAGGTCTGTATCACCAAGAATATAGGTAGAATGGATCAAGGTTACCTGAAAAATACACAAAGGTGTGTTAAAATCCCTTCTGCAAACGTTAAATTTCACAATAATGAGAAATCTAGAACAATTCTCTAGTCTCGCTCAAAGTAAATTTTAAACCGACACTTTATAGTTCTGTGTTAGCAAAAACAAGAGGGGTTATTTTGCTGCACAGCAAACAAATCTCCTGCCAGCTGAATATGGATTGATATTACCGATATTAAATACCAATAATATCAATATTAAATTTAATAAAATCATCTGTGGATTCTCAGCAAAGTAGGCAGAGTGGAGATAGTGTATTGCAAAGGAATTAAACTTTTAGAAATTAATTTTCCTGCCTTAATGAAAGCTATCATGCAAGTTGATATCTCTTGTAATTTTGCAACCAACACATTCCAATAAATATATTTGTTCTCTCCAATTTTCTCCCTTTTCTAAACATTCAGACTCATGCTGGGTATGGTTCCACAGTCATCCATCACCTTTCAGTTTATGCGTGAACCAGATAATAAACATCAACAGGTTATTCTACTGGGGACAGGGGACAGCACATTACATCCAACCCAAATCCGGTCCCTCCTGCAATATTCACATTCAATCACTTTTCAAAGGAGGGTTACTAAGTGGCAATCAGGAGTGGGACCCTGGCTGAATTTCCTATCTAGCCCATGGGTGCTGGAATCAGGTAACATGGGGGAACACATTTACAAAAGGAAGTATCACCCATCCCTATACGTCTGAAACTCAAGGCATCATTGCATTACCTCTTTTTCATGGTATTCAGTTTTGATTTCTGCTGCCAATTCCACACCCGCAAGCCCACCGCCAACCACGACAATTCTATCTGCTTTCTGAATCTGTATCAAGGAAGGAAAGTATTCAATGAAGATTGGAGTGAAATGTGCTGCAAAACACTATCGAATAATGGCGTCAAACAGCCTATAAAATTACTGACAAGATTTTAACCAAGAGACAAGATTATTACCAACCGAGCCAGGCTGGCACCTGTTTAATAAACCTGTTTCCCACTGCTTTCTGACACCAGGCAAGAAAACTTGCCATCTACCTTACCTCTGCTACCAGATCTTCATACTTCTGAATGGCTGTTTCCCTCGAAGCTGGTTCAATGAATTTTCCAGGGAATGGTCCTGAGCTGCCAGTTGACAAAATAAGATGACTGAAGGCTATTTCCTTTAAAACATAATGAATTGGGTGTCAGACCAATGGGTGTTAGCGCCTTGGGACTTCCTCCCGACGTGAAAGGTGCTATACAAATGTAATCTTGTTGTTGTTGATGTTGTTGTAAAGAGTTGTGCGCAGGTTAAAAGTAAAACAGGTAAAGCATGTTAAATATGATCTTATGACTTACCTCTCCACTCTCTAAAATGACATATTTTCCTTCTACATCAATGTCAGTTACTTTGCCTTGTTTGAACTTCTCTTTAAACGTCAAATCATATGATATAAAAGTTTTCTTTGCAAATCCTAATAGGAAGAAATACCACACTGTAGCTGCTATCAAGTTATTCTATATTCTGATTCATGGCAGCTTTATATACTGGGATGGTATTCCTTATACTGCAGCACACAGGTACAGCTAATTTCCTAATTAATCAATCAATCATCCAAATCTTGCATATGTATTTATACATCCCCTTCTGGTTTCCTGGGGGTCAAGTCAGATCCGGTCTACAGTGCCCAAAGACATTTAGGTGGTCAGTATTTTGGATGGTGACCATTTAGAAATCTAATGGTGCTTTGCAACATTTTTGACATTCTAGCTGCTATTTCAAGTGCAAGGATTATTTTTATTATTTAATTCAGGAAACAATATGGGACTTGCAGAATGACCATGGAGCAACCATACTGTAGGAAACAGCATAGTTTAAGCACCTTATCATATTTAGAATTACATAATGTTTGTGACTTAATTGTTACTGCCGTAGAGATTGAATATTTTAAGTTTGCAATGGGAATGGGTGATGGGTGGGGTGGGGGGTTGACCAGAAACCAAATACTAAAAACACTCTGAACCAATGGTGACATGGAACTAAAAAGATATGCAGCTTAGGACAGCAGAGCTTTCCTTTACAGCTTGTCTTCACATTATTTCAAAACAATTCTCCACAGTATGTGAAACAACAATAAGTTATATGTGCCTTTCACATCAGGAGTATGTCTCAAAGCACTTCACAAAGCTGACTGGGAACCCAAGCTCGGGGGATGTGGGGGGCAGTGGGAGGGGAAGAAAGGTGACAAAGCTGAGTCAAAGAGATAGCTGGGACTTAAACACCACAGTAATTCTTCCAGTTCATCTCTGCCAAACATTCAATAGCCAGTCCTACAAACAAGGAACAGTTTTAGAGATCATTAGTTTCTTCTGATGTACCACTCTTCACCGATGCTCTGAGGGCTCCCATGTTGTGATGGAAGGCCAACTTTATGTCGATCAATGTGTAAGGAATGTGGTAAGCTTTTAATTGCTTTGCCGCTGTGGTCCCTCCAAAGCCACCACCAACTATGACAACGTGGACATTCTCATCTGTGGACAATTTCCCTCCCATGACGTCTCTGTTATGAAAGGAAAAATTAAGGGTTTAAACTGAAAACAACAAAGTATTTTAGAGCCTATTTACAAACATTTGAAATTCGATGTTTTTCTTAGAAATACATAGCAAAACCCACCACCTGTTTCTTTGACCCGAGTTAAAGTCACCAATGACATTCTCTCCATCTGCCACCAAGGCATATTGTCTTCTTGACCTCCTCAAATCCTCTGCCACCTCTGACAGTGACCAACCCTTTCTGCTATCTCTACTCCATGATTCATCTCTGTGGCTCAGCACTTTCCTGGTGTCACTCCTACCTGTCCTAACATCTTCACTTGGTCTCATCTAAGGGCTTCTTCTCTGTTCCCGCACAGTCACATCGAATGTTCCCCACCGTTCTCTCCTAGGGTCTTCCCTTTGCAATATCTACACACTCCCAATTTGTCACATTGTCTGCAGGCATTGGGTTCACCTTGACAGCCTTTTCAATCACCTCCCTTTCCCCCATAACCTCCGATTGCGCTGATGCTCCACTGCTAATGCCATCTACTACAACAACAACAACAACAAGATTCCATTTATAAAGCACCTTTCACGTCAGGAGGACGTCCCAAGGCGCTGCACAGTTGGGTCATGACCCGAGCAGGGGGGAAATGGTCAGGGTGAGGGGAGGGGAGGGAGTGAGGAGGGGGGAAATGGTCAGGGTGAGGGGAGAGATGGGAGGGAGCGAGAAGGGGGAAGAGAGTCGAGAGGGGAGCTGAAGGCTCGGTCCAAGAGAAAGGTTTTGAGACCGGCCTTGAAGGAGGAGAGGGAGGAAGCAAGGCGAAGGCACTGGGGGATAGAGTTCCAGAGCCTCGGGGCTGAGAGGCTGAAGGCCCGACCACCAATGGTAGGGCGATTGGGGCGGGGGACATGGAGCAGACCGGAGCCGGAGGAACGGAGGGTACGGGCAGGTAGGTAGGGGGATAGTAGGTTGGAGAGGTAGGAGGGAGCGAGGCCGTGAATGGCCTTGTAGGTGAGGATGAGGATCTTGAAATCAATCCTCTGGGGGATGGGGAGCCAGTGGAGGCGAGCGAGGGTGGGAGTGATGTGGTCCCGAAGCCTGGTGCGGGACAGTACACGAGCTGCAGAGTTCTGAATGACCTGCACTACAGTGTAAAGCCATTTTTCTGTTTTCTCCCATGCCCAAAAACAATTATTTAACCTCTTATTTGGAACAGGAAGTAAGCACTGAGAAGTAGAGATCCAAATTTCCTAATAATCTTAAGTCTATTGTTTTACATTTTACGATTTCCTATATCTAACCTTAATTTGAAAGTTGGCCTTCTGCAGTTCTCTTGGAAACTACAGGAAACCATCTTCCAAATTAAGGTGGAATTCAAAGATTTCTGGGAAATCCTTATTTGCGGGTCATGCAATTTATTCCATCCACACAAGATGACTGTCAACTGGAACTATTTCCTCGTGATGCAAGTAATGTTGAAAAGGAATAGAAACAGACCAATGACCAAAGTATTATTGTGATATCATGGACAAACATTCTCAATTCTAACAGATAGCTCTAGAACTTGCAATTCACCATGTTTACCAGAAAGGCAAATGCTGACTTTCTTTCAGTGGGTGTGGGTAAGCACCCACACTGAAACATCAAAGAAAAATCCACGACACGTGCTTCAGTTTGGGAATGGAGAGTCAAAGGTGTAACTTTGTTCTATAATAATAATCATTGTATTTGATATAGTGCCTTATCACGTCTTCGAGACGTCTCAAAGCACTTTACAGAATATCCTGTAAAATGAATTGTCCGTATATATTGTGGGCGAAACATGGAGGCTAATTGCCTGGAATGAGTGATCAATTTATTATTTTTTTTGAAGGGATTATTACCCTTCTTTTTCTGAGTTTTTTGTTTTATCAGAATATAATCATGTCGCTTCATTTATTGTAACATGTATCCCATGGTTAAGCTGCTTGGTTAGATTTTCAAAGCGATTTTCATACAACTGTATTGAAAGATTTATTTACATTTGAGTACAATATCTCAGAAAGTTCAGGTGGACTTCGGGTTATGGTGGGCACAGAAAGCTCTTGGGAAAAAGTGATCTTTGAAAGTTACTTGATGATGAATCTAAAACAGCACCAAGGCACTTGCTTCCAAATGAAATTGATCTGCAGCTGGCTTAAAAAACTCTCACATTAGCCTCAGGGATCGATGATCACCTTTCCCCGATTGTCTTGTTCACCGCAAATAGCAAAACAACATAAACTCACCATGGGATTTACTGACAAAAATGTTTAAGTGCTGTACATCCTGATAGGGCCCATACTGAAAATCACTACAGCTTGCCGGGCCACAACTTATCAAGTAACTTATCAAGTTATTTTCATTAAACAAAACTACAAAGATTATTGAAATTTGGCAGAGCAGCATTTGGTTAATGAGAAAACATGTTGAAAATAAAACTTCAATCTCACCCAATGCTGAAGTCCTAAAAATCCCAATCTAAAGTTTTGAGCAGCAGGTTGTCTTTCCCCATCTGCCTGTTTGTGTGTGTGAGGTTTAGCAGCCATGACCAGGTGATGAAGTCACTGCTGTCACTCATTCTGATTTGTTAACCTGTTGTGCACCCATTGTTTATTTAGGTGTTGTTTAACTATCAGCCTGCTGGTTATTTATGCAGATAGGGCAAAAAAAAATCTTTAAGCAGCAATGATCAATTTCTCCTCGATTCGTTCGCTGTGTCTCCTTAAGCCAGAAATAGAGCACAACAATGTGCTTAAGAAGCTGGGAAGTAAACTTGTCAACCCGACCCCACACTCCTACAGCACTGCACTGGAAACTGCAACCCTAATCCTTTGGTTGGTTGGCGTCATCGCGAAACAAATGGTTAAATGGCAAACAATGGTAAACAAACAAAGACCCTGTCTTTGGAAAACATTCTGGGAAGCTATCCTACATGAAGGGTGCGGTGTAATGCGAGTTGTTCTGATTAACATCAGGCAGAATTGTGGATGACATTCAACAAGAAAGTAAGTGCAGAATAGAAGCTTCATTCAGTACAGTTGAATACTACAACACAGAAACCTTGCCCCATTAAACTAATTGTAGGTTTAAAAGTTCCGTATACTAACAGTGGGGAAAAATAGCCACTGAGCTACAGGACTCCGCCTATAGCACCTTATCATGTCTTTGAGATGTCTCAAAGCGCTTCACAGAATATACCGTAAAGTGAATTGACTGTATATTTTGTGGGCGAACATTTAGTCTGGGTTTGGACAACTTCTCTTTCCTGCGGCAATCTACCAATAAAGCTTCTTATGGAGTCACACAGACATTTCAATCATATTAATGTGGTCAACCTACTTTGCATAATCCTCTGGGACATGTAGAGGATGTGGTGCAATGGCAAAACATAAAAAAATGTCACAACTCAACACACATGGAAGTTGAATTGTAAATTAAACAACCCCATTTACAGTATTTGCAGTAAATTACAAATAACAACGACAACAAATTACACTTGCTTCACATCGGGAAGCTGTCCCATGGTGCTGGGCGTTAAATACAATATCTACCAAAGTTTTGCATGTGTCATGGGAAAAAAATTACTTTTGAACTTTAATGCTTGTTTAAGTATATTGACATTGACCACTTCCTTCAGCTTCTTGTGAGCTTCTGTAGTTTTATGCTAAATGGATTACTGTTTCAAAGAGCTAACGTAAGCCAAATGGCCTTCTTCTGCATTGTATAGTTAATACTCGTGTTTATGTGGAGTCCTGTAGCTCAGTGGTTAGAGCACTCGCTTTGCAAGTGAGAGACCTGAATTCAATTCCAGGCAGGGCAAAACCTTGGGCAAGTTTCCTTACTCCACACGCCTAATAATAATCCCTCCAAAAAAAAAACAAAACAATAATTAAATTGGTCATTTTCAATCTACGACTGTTTGTGGGACATTGCTGTGCGCAATTGGCTGCCGCGTTCGCCCACAAATATACAGTCAATTCACTTTACAGTGTGTTCTGTGAAGCGCTTTGGGACGTCCTCCCGACGTGAAAAGCGCTATATCAAATGCAAGGATTATTATTATTATTATTATTATTATTATTATTATTATTATGCCCGTTAGCAGTCACTTTGCTCCCAATAGTGCAGTTGGATGCCTCGATAATCCTTCCAGCTATGACCACATTAAAGCCATAAAGAAGCATCTAATTTTGGTGTACTAGGTATCCACAGATTAGTGCTTTACCAAAATACTAATGGTGGGTGTTTGTTTTCTAAAGGTATTAAAGGACAGGTCATTCAGCCAACTCTTGAACACTACTAAAAGAAAACATAATTGGACAACGAGGGATTATTTTTAACATCTCTGGAATGGAGAGAAATGAGCCAACAGTGATTTGCATCAATTGTGTTTGTCCTGCTGTAAGTAGAGCTCCAAAGTGATTCCCACTGGCTCATCCAATCCTTCCTGCTATGCTTTTGATAGTCATTAACTACAGGACAAGGCACTTTGCTTTAAAATCATAGAAAGTTTTCAGACCACTCCACTTCTCACATGTTCACTTATTGCATTCACTTACTGCATTCACTTTCAATATGGACCACAAGATGGCACTGCCTGCCTTTGTTCTGTGGAAGCAGAGGAAGCAGTACAGCAAACTGTACCTGTTTGATTCAGCTAACAGATGCCATCTGCACATTGGTCACATCAGACTTTGATAGATAATTTTATCAGCTAGTGTATTCAAAATGCATCTATGCTGTCAGCCTTTTCCAAATGGTCGACTCTTACCTCCAAGCCCCATGTCAGTTCTTTTGAGCTCACAGTCCAGACTCTTGGCTGACCCTGCTATAAAGATCATGTATATATCATGTCTTTTCAGGCCTCTACTTCCTCCTCCTCCCTCATATACTTACTTATTGTTGAATTCCCCACAAACCTGTTCATGTTCACAATTGCAAAACCTGAGTTCGAGATCCAGAGTAGGATCTCGGTCTCACTAGGAAATGACTGGAGATTTAATACAGGCTAATCGTACTAGTGTCTCTTGCCCTGATTAAGTCTTACTCTTAACTTAAATAAATCTAGCATTTGCCACCACTATTACATTTAAAATAAAATATTTGACAGTCGTGTGGTAGTTCTCAAACAATTAAAGACACTCCGGACTTTACAAGCAAGGACAAAACACAGACTTCAGTTCAAAATACAGTATGTGCAAGCACTGGAGTATGAACAGATACTGCCATAAAGTGGTCCTGGAATGGGAAGCTCAAATGGTCACAAACCAGTGCATTGGGTGTGCTTTTCCGAAGTCAGACTAAATGAAGTAAAGAAGTATTGTTACGTTAAATATCCTCTTTACTTCATACAGAAAAGCAGAAAAAGAAAGTTTTGACTCCTCAGCAACAAAACAAAATTACTCGATTTAATGAGCTGAACAAAATCCTGAAATAAACATCTGTATAAAGGCAGAAAAGTTTCCAGCTCAGCTAATTGAGTGAAAAGCATTTTAAATCCAAAGTTCTGAATTGTGATACTAAACACAAGGTTTTTAAGCTATTTTTGCAAGGACAGAGCACAGGGATTTCACTAAGTAGCAGATTAGTCTGATCTGTTACTCAAGAAAGCAAATAGCTGCAGCGATGAGTGCTCTCTGATTGGTTGGATACAACTTAACAGCAATGTCATCCAAAGGTGATTTGAAATATTCACATTGCAAGGGCCGTTGCAAAACTCAGGATCCAAGTTAAAGCAACATTGAACTGTTCCCATCAGCAGCAGAACTAACCCCATGTTTTTCTCACAATAACAACATGTCTCTCACAATCAGCATTGGCTAGGGAATGTAATGGTCCAGTTTTCTTAGCAGATATCTGGCCCAGAAACCAAACCTTTTAAATTAATGAATGACCTATATGCGTCAGGGCAGATTAGCAGCAGTCTGCAATGCGGGACATACTTTAAATCATCATCATAGTTTCAAAGAATTGTCAGATCACATTTAAGCATCCATCGCATCTACTTTTTTGTATTTAAGAGAAAACAATGCACATATGAGGCTGAAGGATATAGAAGAGTATAGGTTATGGGAATCAGAGGGGTGGGAGTTTGTGTGGAATATCAATAATAGCATGAACTAGTTGGGTCAAATGGCCTGTTTCCATGGTGTCTGACTATGTACTTTGAGTCTATGCTTTTCTACAGGGTCTTTGGGTTTAAGATCTTCTATGCCATTTACGAACTCACCAATAACTGTTTTTTCCCCCCATAATTTAGGCCCCATAGGAACATTCGCTTAATTTCTAATTATTCTTATTTTGCAACTTGCTGTCCAAGAACAGGTGGTGATTGTTTTTCGTTGCTCCCTTCTGATTGTGGTTGGTTGAGATGACAGGTGACCCTGTCAGTGCAGAGAGTTCCACCTTGTGGCCTTAATAGGAACCTATAACATGGCCCAAGTAGAATTTAACGTCAGTTTAACTGGTGACCCTCTACTCAGATTCTAAAGCTCTGGTACTTCTTTCAACCTTGACTGCTTCCTTATAGGATACAGTCTATATTAACCTTGGTTTAATTAAAATCAGTGAAGACAATTTACATTTATACAATGCCTTTCATGTCCCCAGGACATCCCAAAGTGCTTGCCAGGCACCCATGCCCGCAGGGAGAGTTAGCTGAAGAGGGTGGGGGCGATGGAAAGATGACACAAGGCATGGTCAAAGAAGCAAGTTAAGGAGGACTTTGTAAGTGGGGAGAGATGGAGTGAGTCATAAGGTCTCCGGTGTCTGGGATGGATTTCCAGGGAGCAGGAACAGAATGGTGGAAAGCTTGTCTTCTGATGTAGTGAGTCTTTGCCTGTGACTGTTGAGCTCAGAACAGATACCATGCCTGTGCTTTCAAATGCGATAATTTCTACCGGAATTTCTTTATTAAAAAATTCAGTTGCACATCACAGTGAAAAGGGAATTCTCACCAAAGTAAGTCAAGTCAAAATTGTAAGTCAAAATAAACAACAACAACTTGGATTTATATAGCGCCCTCCACGCCGGACAGCGTCTCAGAGTGTTTCATAGTAACGGATCCCGGGGCCGAGAGAGGGGGAGGAAGGTGACCAAAGGCGCGGTCGAAAAGAAAGGTCTTCAGCAGAGATCTGAAAATAGGAAGAGAGGGGACGAGGCGAAGGGAGTGAGGAATGGATTTCCAGAGCCTCGGGGCATAGTGGCTGAAGGCACGGCTGCCGAGGGTAGAGTGGAGGACTCGGGAGACAAGGAAGAGGCCAGACCCGAAGGAACGAAGGCAACGGGCACTGTTTTGAGGAGAGTGGAGGTCAGAGAGGTAGGGGGGTGCAGAGGAGTGGAGGGATTTGAAGACAAGGGTGAGGAACTTGAAATCGATCCTCTCTGGGACAGGCAGCCAGTGCAGTCTGGCAAGGACTGGGGTAATCGGAGAGCGGAGTTTGGTGCGGGTGAGAATGCAGGCGGCAGCGTTTTGAATATCTGGATTTTATGAATGGTAGTGGAGGGGAGGCCGGTGAGGAGGGCGTTTGAATAGTCCAGCCGAGAGGTGACAAAGGCATGGATCAGGGTTTCAGCGGCACATGGGACTTGAAACAGAACGTATATTAAACGTGATAAATTTTCACAATCCTCATGACTGATTGCTGTGGCATGACCATTAATTATATGTCAAAAGCCACTTGAATATTTGTGAATCAGAATATATAGAATTTTAGGTATTCAAATGATTGAGAAAATTGCACTTATCCAATTAAGTACAAAGCATAATTATCTTTAGTATGAAGCAACATTCACTTCCATATCATCACACAGTACCAGGAAGATAGAAAGTGATAAGCTATACACATCACCAATACTACATATAACGAGGGAGACAGAAAGTGATTCGTTTCAAATACACTACGATTAACACTACTAAATATTCTTTCTAACTTAAACTAATGTAATGCTAAACACACTTCTCAACATATACTAGAGTAAGCAAACTTACTCCTAATTGTTTTCTCCATACATAGCAACATACCTAATAATATCTATCGTGGGACAGGCTCTTTTCATGGTTTTCCAATATTCTGCACAACCTCAAATGTTAAGACAATTATCTTTAAGGCGAAGACCATGAGAAATTTCTGGCTTCAGGAGTCTTGATTGGAAACCCTCTTGTCACAACAATTCAACTCAGAATGCCAATCCTGTTTGGTTTATTTTGTTTCGCTGAATAAATGTACAACTATGTTAAACATTACATTGTATGTTTGGATTTGAACAAGAATTCAGATGGAACAGTTAAATGATAGCAGCCCTGGAGAAAGGTTGTTACAAGGAGACAGCTTTCTCGGATGAAGCCGTAATTCTAGCAATGCGATTATTGATTTAAAGTAAAGTAATGTGACATTTCAATAAAGGTTAAATTATTTTTGAAAACTGAAGTCAAATTAATCCCAAAACATTCACCATTTGGCTAAGCAGTTAAGTATCACATTAAACCCCAAATTGCTTTTGCCTTCAATGTTCGCTAACATCACGCAAGGTTTTCTATTTTGTGCAACCTTTCCATTTTTTAATTTCCTCAGCCTTTCTGCTTCACTGGGTAGGCTGGTATGACATTCTGAGTACTTTGAGGACCTAACCTCTGCAGTCGTCATTAATGCTGACTTTGATTTTCCAACCATAAGGTTTTCAGCCTGTCCCATCATCTCTCTGAGTGCACAATGCCCATGGAAACAAAGACACAAGTTAATAATAATAATCCTTGCATTTGATATAGCGCCTTATCACGTCTTTGAGACACCTCAAAGTGTATCACAGAATATACTGTAAAGCAAATTGACTGTATATTTTGTGGGCGAAACACGGCATTATTATTATCATCATCGTACAGCGTTTTCTACCTTCAAAGGTGTACTATCTGCATAGAAAAGTATTTACCAAACCTTATTTTGTGAAAACAATAGCAATGATGATATAATGATTCACCTTGCTACTGTCAGGCACGTTGTCAATGTCATGAACCCAAGACAATGCCCTTCTCCCTCCTAGAACTCAAAGTTCACCAAACATTTTGGTAAGGACAGTACCCCTTTAATAATAAAAAAGACCATGGATATTGTACAACCTGACAGCAAAGCTGAAGCATGTGATTAGTTAATGGACAATGTTCTGGGCTATTTTTGATCATGGTGCTGCCACACACCATGAGACACAAAGATAGATTCCAACATAATTACTTTTCATCCAAGAAACAACTTAACATTTATTCCCAATTTCATGATTTGCTTGGAAGCAAAGCAGTGGATACATTATTTGGGGATTTGCCTCTTTTAGCTTGCCACGATCAGTGAAGTTACAATGAAAGTCTCTGTTTGCCCCCTCTCCACCCACACAGACACTTTAAGAGGAATCCAAATTCATGTAAACAGCAGATTTAGGACTACTGTGACTTTACTGAAGGACTTACCTGAGAAAGCAGCTTGTAGGCTCCTCAGGATGTGTCATCGGATTAAAACCTTAGCTGCTGTCAACCCTTCTGTCCAGCTCCAGCCTCTCAAACAGCCACCACAAGATTCATCAACTCATTCAGAAATAAGAAACTTTAATATCAATTTCTTTGTGTTTTTTAAAAACAAGATTCAGATCCATCACTGTGATGAAGCACTTAAAGAAGCTCTACAGATCCATCTTTCTCAACTTGGTACATGTCTGCCTGGGTGAGTATTCATTTTTATAAAGATTGAATCCGAATGAGCAATGTAATTCGCAATAATCCTCTGTGTAAGTAATTACTAATATAGAACACGCAACATTTGGTCTCCTAGAATAAGTTGAATGTAAAATATGTCCTTGACTGAAAGTATTTTAAAATTTAGTGGAGATTATGTTTTATTGGAACATAATTTGTTTATTTGTGCATCTTCTGTGACCACTTTCATGGAATATCCCTAAGCCAATGGTGTAATGTTTCACCATTTTCTTTGTTTCCTCACCATGTCTGCCTTCACCAACTCAGCTAGTAAGTACTATAGTTTGATAATTATTTACAACCCATCAAAAATTATGCTTAATGTTTATATGCGTTTGTCACGTCCGGGTTTGACTATGTGAGCTCCATGCTCGCCAGACTTCCAATCTCTTCCCTGCAGATTATTCAGAACTCTGCAGCTCGTGTCCTCTTCCGCACTGAGCTCTGTGAGCCGATCACCTTCTCCACACCTGGCTTAACTGGCTCCCCATCCCCAGGAAGATTGAGTTTAATTAAGATTCTCGTCCTAACTTTTAAAACCCTCCACGGTCTTGCTCCTCGCTTCATCTGCACCCTACTAACATCTTACCAACCTTCCCACTCCCTCTCCTCGGCATGCACTGGCGTGTTTCATGTCCCCTGCCCACTCCACCATTGACAGTTGGGCCTTCAGGTTTTCTGCCCCCACCCTCTGGAACTCCATCCCTCAAAGGTCTGTCTCAAGACCTTCCTCTTTGATCGTGCCTTTGATCATCCTCCCACCCCCATCCCCTTTGTAATTTGTTGTTAAATAATAATCTTTGCATTTGATATAGCGCCTTATCACATCTTCTGGACTTCTCAAAGTGAATTGACTGTATATTTGGTGGGCGAAACTCAGTAGCCAATTGCACACAGCAGTGTCCCACAAACAGTCCAAAATATAATTTTGAGTGACCATAATTATTATTATTTATTTATTAAAAGGATTATTTTCCCCAGAAGAGTGATTTGACAATGGACTAACAACTAGGTTCCTACTTACTGCTAGGTAAACTGAGACGTGTCGAGTAAGGAAACGTGCCCAACATTTTGCCTTGCCCAGGAAAAATTTAGTCAAATGTGTACTGTAATTACTGTTTGAATAACAACATTTGCAAATACATCTGACATGATATCATCTTAAATCTGTAACAATCCACTGGTAGAGTTTATATAATTTGCCAAATATTGCAGGGAATTAATTCAACTGATTAGCAACTCATTCCAGGTCTGGACACTGTGAAGCTTCCCTCAATCCATGATACTGATTACTTTTTAAATCACTAGTTAGTAACGTAATATTTCTCAATAATTTAAAGTAATTGTTCTGAAGAAGAATATTGTGTTTTTAACAATTCTAATTCGCAACCGTTTGTCTATAATAATAATCTTGCATTTGATATAGCGCTTTTCATGTCTTCTGGATGTCTCAAAGCGCTTTACAGAATAGACTGTAATGTGAATTGACTGTGTATTTGTGGGCGAAATGCGGCAGCCAATTTCACACATCAGTGTCCCACAAACAGTCGCAGATTGAAGTGACCAATTTATTTTTATATTATTATATTTTATACTAGTTGGTGCTTTGAAAAAATGTTGGCAAGTTTATTGTTAAAACAGTGTTGTAATTTCTCACTAGTTCAAGCAGATTATGCTCCCTACTTCTACGACAATGACTCAAACAACACCAATGGAAATATGGCCCTGTTGAGCATTCCTGAGGATACACCTATAGGTATGCACTTTACCAGCTCTGAAACTGGCAAAATACTGTACGATGCTTTTGCATTATTACTCTCCACCATTGTATTATCCTTCTTGTCAAAATGAAAGCTATCAATCCACTGAAAGAACTCTGCATTTCACATTTATTTCTAGGAACACAAGTATACATTTTAAATGGGACAGATCTGGAAGGAAATTCAGTGAAATATGGTATGACATTTCAACCTGGTTCAAAACATTACTTTACCGTGAATTCACAATCAGGAAAAGTCACGCTGGTTGAGGAGCTGGACAGAGAGGTAATGGTTTTTGACGATTATTTTAATAACATTTTGTAATCCCATCATTAGAGATGCATTGTTAATTTGAAAGCTAACCCAGTGATCTAAACTAGAAATTAATTCAGCTCCATATAACGCCCAGAATCCCTCATCATGGTGCACTTTTCATTACCATCAAGCATTTTCAGGTCAATTATAGTCCAAAGTAATTGGAGAATAAAGCTCCCTTCGTATTCTCATTTCCTGCACTCGCCATTCTTCTGGCCTTTTGGAGTGAGTTTGGTAATTGTTTAAAAAATGAACATGGTTTTGTGCAGTGGCAAAATGGACCTCAAATCATTTTGCTCATGTGTTTCGCAGCCATATAGAGAAGAAGTCCATTCAATTTAACATTTTTAATTTCAAATAAGGCCCTAAACACCAGCCCACCAATGCATGCCTACCAGTCCATTCTGGATGAAAGAATTTCTCATGCTATCAATCAGTCATAAATGTATAGGTTCTGGAATAAAGAATGTATGCTCGATGGAGGTGAAATTCCTTTTACCTCCAAGTGTAGGGACTGTAATGGTACCTCTTTGTAATGGTAATTTCCTCAAATTGTAAAAGTTATTACGCTCAGAGGAGATTCTTGCTCCCATGTTTATTCAGTGGCATTTGGTTGTCTATTGTTTTACAGAAAGAAGATGAAGTTGAAGTACTTGTCAGCATTTCAGATGGCTTGAATAAAGTAAGTAGCATTACATGTTGAAAAGAACTTATACTCAAGCCACTGCCAGTATCAAATTGAAATGTTCTGTGTGGAATATACTTCATGTTAATGTGGAATTGTGCACAAGATATAGAAAGCTCGGATGCAACACCATTTTTAAATCTAATGTAAAGCAACCCCAACTTGAAAAGAATAAAATAAATATCCCTTTCACTGTCAGTACATCTTAATGTTCAGTTTGTTTGTGCACATTGAGAGTTGTCAGCCCTACTCGTAAAAAGCTTGAAAATCTGCTCTTCCTGAGGGAACAGATCTTATCTTCTGTGTTCACATTCACTGTTGAATATCCCAACTCATCGCGACATTATGACATTATGTAATGAAATGTTAAACAATGTGCAACATATTTTAGCAATTTGGTAATGCTTAGCTGAGCGGAACTGCTGAAAGCCTAATGGTACATTTAAGCCTTGTGGGCCTTATTGCCTTCGATTATAACAATTCAATATTTCATTTAGCCTCACTTTGGGGTTAATGGGCTCAACCAAAACATTGGTGGAGAAGAATAAATAAAGAGCTACAATTAATGTTTGCAGGTTGTGGAAAAGGTTCTAATTCTTGTCACGGATGCTAATGATGAGAGCCCACAATTCATCAATGCACCTTATATCATCGATGTCCCTGAGGTGAGTTTCTCTTTTACTGTCTCCGAATGCCATGTGTGTTATGTTGACAGACCAATATTTCATGGAGCACTTATGGTGATCTACGTTTCTCCCCCCTCCTACTAGAATACACCTTCAGGGAGCAGCATATTCAAGGTCTCTGCGACAGACAAAGACAATGGATCTGGAGGCAGTATAACATATTTTCTACAGGTATACTTTCATCCAATTCCTAAATCACTTCAAAGCACGATTATTCAGGCTATTTTAAGAGTTAAGTTTCTGTGCATCAATGGGAATTCTAAACCCTGAAATACTGTAATTTTTCTAAAATCTAGCATGGCTAGCAAAACTCTGTGAATATGCTTCTGACCTATTCAGCCCCCAGTTGAGAGTGATTGGGATTCAGAAATATATGTCCTGTTCCTAAATGAATGCATGTGGAAAGAATTAAACGGGAATTAATGGCCTTTCAGCAATGAACTGTAGTCTTCCCTCTGATACTCCTCATTCTTTCTAATGATCCCTTGGTTTCTCTCTTCCAGAATGTACGAATAAAAAGATTTTCAATGGATCGACATAGCGGCATCCTTCGAATAAGGCCGGGCATTTCTCTCGACTTTGAGAAGTCCAGGACTCATTTTGTCACTATTATAGCCAAGGTAAATTGACAAGTTTTATTTCTTACAGAAATACAACAGTTTGCTGTAATTCGCTGCAACCAAAAAAAACAAGCAAAACTAAACTGTGATTTATTTCAGGACGGAGGTGGGAAGCTCAAAGGAAAGTATAAGGTTTGGTCTTCAACAGCTACCATAACAATTAATGTGGTGGATGTCCAGGACACCCTCCCTATATTTGCTGGAACACCATATTTTGGATATGTCTATGAGGATACAAAGGCTGTAAGTGCTGCATTGTAATTTACACTGTGCCCTTTTGCTGTTGCACATATACATGATTTTGTGTCTTGGTGCTTGTTATTTTTGAACCCACGCATGTTGAATTATGCACTAGTTTTTGGGGAAAGGCTGAACGGGACACCAAACTAGAAGATAGCCATGTTTCTCGTCTGTTAAATTTCATCTAAATTACAAATCCTCATTTCTTTTTCAGGGTTCTGCAATATTTAGTGTGGCGGCATATGATGGCGACCGTGGTAACCCAAACCCGGTCTTTTACACAATTGTAAACGGTAAGTGAAATGAAACCACAAGAGTGGCGACTGGGAACACAAAGATATTTTGTATCAAAGTACAGAAAGAGCATACATTGTTTGCAATGTTAAATGCAGATTGCATTTCTTGTGAAATTCTGATGTCCAAAGGTCTCATAATCTTAGCCTCAAAAACATTGTTTTCCAATTTAAGACTGCAGAATTACTAAATTACTCAAATTATCCATTCAGAAACCAGTTTTCTACAGTTGCAAAATTGTGGCAAAACAGTTCTCAAATGAGGACTGAATTTACGAATTGCCCAACCTCAAATTCTAAGGTTAAGACCATGAAAGGTTCAGAACCCTAATGTGAATTTGTCTTAATGTTGCCGCATTTATGTAGCAGTAAAGCAATTTAGAGGTATGGGCTGAGGAGAGTTCTGTGTATGTGCTTTGTTGAGAATTGGGTTGGTCAACTCCTCCGACTCCCTTGTTCAGTGTCCAACCCAATCACTGTGCAGTGCTCTGAGATGCTACCTTATGTGAAAGGCTACATAAATGCTGATTGTTGGATTTTTAAAATTGGATACTACTTACTCGGATCTCTGTTTAACAAAGTTGCCTTTTTTTTAAAAATAGGAAGTGATGAATCTTTTGAAATAAATAATTCAAGTGGAGTCATTACAGTTCTTGAAACTACAGATCTTCTTAAAAAGACCCTCTACAAACTTTTAATTCAGGTGAGCCAAAACAAATTCGGACAATGATGTATAACCCAACGCATCCTGGGATTAATGCATCACCGACAAAGCTACCTAAATGTGGTGACAAAGAATGGCCTTTGGTCTTCTGAGTATGAGACACCATGATGTCTCTTAATTTTGCTCTGCCGTACTATGACTAATACTTTGAAAATAAATAGTTGGCAGTCAGTAAAATCATGTGCCAATGCTGGTTGTTGGAGCCAAAGCAATTCAGAGTGATTTTCCTCTCCAGTATACCTGGCTATTCTTAGGTGCTTCCTGCATCAACACAACTGAGATCAGTACCTCAGAAAGTGGAAGGACACAGCATGGAGTCACATTAAATCACTCGTGTCAGCTGTGACACACTCTACCTTATGCAATAAGATACAATGTGACTTCAGGAAATTGTTAAAGATGCTTTGTGTTTGTTTTTGTACAAGGCCTCAGAAATTAACCCTGACAGTGACGTGGAAGCATTTACAACTACCACAGTTCGCATCCAAGTGGTGGATCTCAATGATCATCCGCCAATGTTTTACGGTGAAAATGGGCCTCAGTCACATTTTGAAATTACAATGTACGAGCATCCCCCTGAAGGAGAGATATTGCGAGGACTGAAAATAACAGTAAATGACTCCGATCAGGTTTGTTGACCAGTTTTGAAAAGTACCACAACATTAACCACAGATCAATATGCAGCATTTCTGATGACCACACAAGCAGGTAAAGCAATTAGATGGATCACAAAATACCCTCGGTCAGATGTTACACACATGGGACCCATTTGCACTCCTTTCCCTGAATGAAAGCCCGCTAGCCTCATCTGGGACTTCACTAAGGAAAGACTTGCTGGTGTTAAACATGTGTTCATTTCAGCAGCAGTAAACATTAAGTTTGAACTAGTCTTCCAGAATATCTGAACCCACACATCAAGAATATTATTGACTTTTATGTAGATAGGTCAAAGATTGTTTGAAGGCCTCGCGACAAAAAGAAAAGAGCTGGCATCATCAGGAGAGGAGGGGGGAGAGGAGACTAACAGGGAAAGACCTATGTACTGTTGTTAAAGAGGTTAAATCAGAAAATATGGTTTATCCATTTGTTTTCACACCACGGTTTCAAATGTGTTAAAAAGAATATCAACACATCACTCTCAAGCAAAGCCTTTCCTACTTCTCTCCCTCCTGAGACACATTGTTCTGAAGGTCACATCCTTTAAACGCAGTATGTGATTGAGATGATAATGACAGCATTTCATTATTTTCTTACAGGGAACAAATGCACAATTCAACCTTAAACTGGTGGGTCCTGAAGGCATATTTCGAGTTATTCCCCAAACAGTTCTCAACAAAGCACAAGTGACAATAATAGTGGAGAACTCAGCTGCCATTGACTATGAAAAGTCCCAACTTTTTACCTTCAAGGTTTGTGAGTTTGGGGATTTTTATTTAAAAACTGTGTTTTACAAGTATTGCAGCTGTTAAAAATTGTATCCTTTCTTCCCTATAGCTCCTTGCTGTGGAGACAGACACTCCAGAGAAGTTCAGTTCTACAGCTGACATTACCATTCATCTTGTCGACACAAACGACAATATTCCCAAATTCACCTCAGACTTCTACATCGCACGTATCCCGGAAAATTCACCTGGGGGCTCCACAATCATATGCATCACTGTAAGTAGAGGTACCAATCTTGCAGGTTGTGCCTTATTCCACTGAACATACTCACACATAAGCATTCAGGTTTACATATTGTTTTACATGACTGAAGACGAGATTAAAGGATGACAAATTGAACGACGACAACAACTTACATTTATATAGCGCCGCCCCCCCCCCCACATACACAGGGTAGCGTCCCAGAGCGCTTGCCAGTGGCGGAGCCTGAAGCCAAGCGGGGGGCAAGGCTATATCGATAGATTATTTCCAGTGGTCAGTGATTCAGTAGAAAGAGGGTTCAGAGTTAAGAGTAAAGGTGAAGTTTGAAAAGAAAATCTTCACAGTTAAGGCGGTTAGAATGTGTGATTTCTCTGCCACAAAATAACAACAACAAATTACATTTGTATAGTGCCTTTCATGTCAGGAGGACGTCCCAAGGCACTGGATAGTCAGGGATCCACACCCGAGCTGGTGGTTGGGATCATTAACGCAGAGTATATTTTAAAAGGGAATTAAATAAATGCTTGAAAACGAGGCATTTTAAAGGGTAGTGTGGAATGAGCAGGAGAATGGGATTATATTAGATTACATGCTTCATGTGGTGATAAACATCATCACAGACGATGTTCATGTGGTGATAAACATCATCACAGCCCAGTTGACCAGTTTCTGTGCTGTAACATTCTATAATTATCTGATCAATGCGTATCCTGCTTGAACCACAATGGAGGTTGATGGCCCCTTTACAGCAACGACGATCATTATGAACCAAACTCACAAGTCAGCCATCGACAAAACCTTATATTTACTGTGGATTTGCCACTTCTGAAATCTCTTCGGAGATAGCTGAACCTCAGCCACGCCCGATTAGCTTCTTCTCCAAGGATTTTTACTGACCTTGAAAACCTGAAATGGTGAATGGTACCACCAGGGTTTAAATCTAGAATGCCCACTCTCACGTTTCATGAGGTGTTCAACTGATTGAGGCATTAAACATAGAACATTAACATTTGGTTTCAGAGCAGAATTTCAAAATGGAGAGTTGGTTTGTTTATGGCACTCAGTGTAACATGGGGTGGAAGTACATATGGCATCATATGACATGTCCACAAATCTTTTGGGATCTTAGTTTCAGAAATCACTTGTGAGTTAACCATTTTATTGCAAATATCAGGAAATAAACTGTTCAATCATCACATCATAATATTATTTTTCAACTATTTGGTACTTTCTTCACAGGCAAATGATCCAGATTCTGGGAAGTGGGGAGAAACCAAGTATTCCATATACGGAATAGGTGCTGATCTGTAAGTAATGTTACTTTTTTTTAAAAAAGGAATGTTTTAAAGATAAAAGAAATGATGAAACAAAGGATATTATACAAACTTCTTGTCTTTGATTTTGAAGCGGAACAAAATAGAAGGGCAAAGGAAAAGAGCAGTTAATTGGGATTAGAGCAATTAGAGCTGACACCAACATAGACTCAATGAGCCGAAGAGGTTTCTTCCAGGTTGTAATTTCTTGGATTCTGAGAATCTATGAGGACATTCAGGGGGTTTGCATATTATCATGTCGCACTGCATGTCGTACAAGAAAATGCTATTACTGAACAAGCAAACCCTGAGCATTGTAATGTGGAACGGATTAGACCCGGTGTTGTTAAATGCTGGCAGTATATTAAATATGTAATGTTTTTGATTTCCCAAGTGATTTGGATCCTGTTGCTTTGATAGTTCTCAGATCTTCCAATCCTAACAAAGTGACCAGATATGAACATCAGTACTTGCTTTAATGCACTAATGGCAGCTCTATCTCCTTTTCTGTCTCACTAATCTTTAAAGGATTATCAGCATAGCTAGATAGTATGCCAAGTATTTTATTATGAGGAAATCCATGATATTTCTTCTCCAAAAAAGAAAGAATTCATATCAGTGCTTTTGTTAATTTAAATAGTCTTCACCAATTGATCTCAGAAAATGTCCAATTTAAGCAAGGAATTACCAAATTTTGCATCAAGCTGTTTCAGCATTCCTGACCCTTAACATCACCAACTAATGTCTCAAGCATATTTCTAATGCGGTAGAGAAAATGGCTGCAAATGACCAAATAAATTGTTTTTAATGACAATGGCCCTACATGCATTAAGATGTTAATCCTTTAACGTAAGTGGAGTTAGGTCTCACTAATCCTTTTGCGTGCATCTACCAGGATAGCAGTTAAAATTTTATTTGCCAACAAGTTTCACCTGAAATGACTGAAGCTGAGGTCATGGAGGTGTTTAATGTAATGCATCTTTCATTAGCTTTCACACAGATTTTTATCTTTATTACTAAAATTCAAATTAACCCAACTTATGTCATTTTGCAAAGATATAAATCATATTTTTACAACAGCAATGACAACATGGATTTATTAGCACCCTCCACGACAGACAGTGAAGCAATGAACTGCTTTATAAAAACGGGGTTAATATTTAAACTAGATTTATATAGCGTCCTCCATGCCAGACGGTGAAGCAGTGAACTGCTTTAGATAAATGGGGTTAATATTTAAACTAGATAAGGAAGTATCTGTAGAAAATCAAATCTCCCTCTAGTCAGTGCTGTTACTCAGCAACATCACGTACAAATGCACAGTTCTGTTCTTAGCTCCCAATTAAATTTAAGAAAATTGACACTACATTGTTTTTTTTAAAAAATAACTTGTGTGGATGTTTCTTACGTGTCAGTCTGTTCGTTTAAGACCAACATCTTTGACACTCCTTTGTAGGAGATGTTGTCCTTCAGATGAGAAGTGAAACTGAGATGCTGTCTGCCTTTTCAGGTGGATGTTACAATTCTCATGTTATTCAAAAAGAGAAGGGAGTTTCTCCTGATGTCCTGATCAACAATTGCCTGAATAAAATTGGTCATTCACTTCATAGCGGTCTGGGGGACATTGCTGTGTGCAGGTTGGCTGCTGAGTTGCCCTATATTTGACATCAAATTATATTTTTTTAAATTTAGGTTTTTGATTCACCCCACCACGGGAATAGTTTATACTCAGCCTTGGGCTGAGCTGGATGCTGAAGTGCAATCTAAATACAGCTTTTACGTCAAGGCAGAAGATGTGGAAGGAAAGTACAGTCTGGCTGAAATCTTTGTAACAGTTCTAGATATGAATGATCACTATCCAGAATTTAACGAGAACATTTTGCAGAAGGTTATGATTCTGGGGTCAACTATAAAAGTCGAGGTAAGAAAAACTTTTTTTTATAAATCATTGGATTTCACGAATGTAAAACAATCATAAATTGACTGTAATGATGAAGATTATGATTTGAGTGTGGGAGAATAGTGGGTTTCTGAACTCAGCACCAAGTGCAGATCAACTAGATTCACCGTAGAGGGAGGAGAATTGGTGGGAGAGGTGGAGAAAATGCCAGGTTCTAGGGGATCAGGGAAGCAATGCATCTGTATACTCACAAACAAAACCCTACCAAGAAAAGTCACACTCTTATCTGGATCGCAAACTTGTTCTATATATAAAAACCTAAATCCAGTCACCTTCTTATTAGCTTTCTCCCTTTTTTAAAAAATTACTTTTTGTATGATGTCACAGTGGCAGGCAACTGAGACATTTATAATGCGTAGCACCAGCAGGGGTTTAAGTGAAACGTATGGAGGTGGTCTCAGAAATGGGATCAAAGATACAGGCAACATTTCTATCCTGATTAGAATGTGCTGTCACCAAATTGAGAAACAAGCTGCGAATGAAACAAAGAAACTATGAATGCTCCAGAGAAGGTATGAGAGATTTTGAGGCTCTTTCTGTCAGTCATGACCACCTTAGACTATTGATTCCCTGTGTCACACGTCACATGTTTTACTTACACAAACGCAAAGCATTTGCGTTTTTTTTCTCTTGTTAAAATTAGTGTCATTTCTAACAAATCAGAACCTGTTGCTTGCCCAGTGAACGTGTACTGTGCAGAGCTGTGTTCTGAATGGGTTTGTGACATTTACCGGCAGGCCACGGATGATGATGCTGAAGAGCCGAATAACATTGTGGACTACTCAATAATGCAAGCAGATCCAGCAAACGTTTTTGACATTGATCACGCCACGGGAGAGATAGCGCTGAAATCCTATATCAAATCTCTGGAAGTCATTTACAATATAACAAAAAATAAAGACTGCCAGTGGTCACTGGTGATACAAGCGAAAGATAGAGGCTCCCCTTCATTCAGCACAACAGCCGTGGTGAAGATCGATATAACAGAAGAGGTAGGTACCCTTTACTCAGGGCCAAGGCGTAAACCATTAATCAATGTAAAGATTCAGGTTGGTGGGAGGGTGAGGAGGGTGGAAGGGAGAGGGAGTAAAAGAGGGTTCACAGAGATGAGGTCCAATAATGCTGGACCACAAACATGTTCATCTTTAGCATTCATTGGCAAATTTTAAGATCAGTTATAGCATGTGCCCATACAGTTACAGTCGCGTTCCTACTTTGCAGTGCTGAGGCTCATCAAATAGGTTTCCTACGTGACACTTTGTGTTTTTCATGGTCTCTGAGAAAATCTGACCTGAAAATGAGATGCTGGTGGTGAGAGTAATTCATTTCTATTTCTAGCCTCCAATATGCGCAGTACAGATTGGGCTCAGATTGTACCAGATTCCTGGTATTGTTGTGGAGAATCATTCAAAGCAACAAGAGTTTCACACTGCACATTTATTTTGCCAGCAGCACGACTGAAATTGGCAGATTTTCCTTTCACTTTCTAACTAAAAATCTGCTTTTGTAGCAGTTGGCATAAAAGTGATACGAGCAGAGGCCTGGAAGCAAGTAATTAAAATATGGTTGAAATAAAATAGGATTAGATTTATTTGCATCTCATTTGTAATATTTGCAAACTGGATTTATTTTAACCAAAGTGAGTGACCTTTAAGTGAGTGATTTAAGTGATTTTTAGCCGTTAAATTAATCTAAAATCTTAAATAATTGTTTTTCAAACCATGTCAAACAAAGTTTCACAAGATATTTAACAGAAAAAAAACTTACCTTTTTTTAATTCAGTCATCTCAATTTCTCATATCCATTTTGTATTCTGTTGTGGAGATAAACACATTGCTGTTAGAAAGGATTTTTGCCTGAATACTTAACAACTGTGGAAACATATCTCAGAGTGCAAGTTTGACCCAATAATAGTTCTTCTGTTACTGAAATCTGATGTTTTAACATTTCCAGATTAAATCAAGGCTAATATCTTATGTTTGGGGCCTGAGGAAGCAGCCATGGAAAATATTTGGAATTTTTACAAGCACAGTCATCTCTCTCATTTCTTTAACAATGGCTATATCTGCGCTAATGTTCTGGCAAACTGTGAAAAGATCCAGAGTGCATCCTCATGGCAAAATTCGAAAAATTATCAAGAGACCACCAGAAAAAAAAGATGGCTAGTTAATGTCCTTTTCTCCGGAAAACATTGCAGGGCTGCATTTTTATACATCCTCAATGTGTCAGATAAGACATGAAACCAAGGCTATTTTTTTTTTGTTCAATGCCTGCACTTTGTATGTCTTTAAATGACTACAGAACTACAAATATGTCTATCTGATGGGCTTTTTTTCTGTCTGTATGGGACGATCACTCAGATTAATTAATTTTTTCCCCGTTTTTTCCTGTCTGAAATGGAGATCCCAGTCCTATGGACTAAACCACTTGTTTTCTTTGTACTCTTTTACAGACTTCTGGGAAAGGGCCCATGTCATCCTTTTTGTTGCAAACTAAAGATAACCCTATGAAAGCCCTAGGAGTGATAGCTGGAGTAGTTTGTTTTTTTGTGTTGCTTACAATCTTGATTTCAACGGCCATGTTTTGGCGGAACAAAAAATCCAATAGAATTGGCCCGGTGAGGCGTATCATAAAGAGAAGGGTAGATCGTCGTTCACGGACTCCCAGATTGAACTGGTGGAAAATTAAGAGGTCCCAAAACACATCAGATAAATTCATAGCTTCCTCTGATAATGCACACATACAGAATGTGAACACCAACAATAACAGTCCGGATCCTCCGATGGCTCCACCATGTGCACCTTTGCTTCCTCCTCCATCGTCAACGTTCTCAGCCAGTTTCAACGTCCCAGACTGGAATCTACCTACGGTGTCAGGATCACTCAGTCCCAGACAATCAAAGTACAAGGCAAATATCAGCACTGCTCTGGTGTCTGAGCTCAAAATGCGTCTGGAACAGAAAATGAATGAAGATACTCAAAAACTATACTTATAAAAGGGTTTCACAACAACCAACTGAAACAAATGCTGTGATATAGGAGCCTAATTGATGACTTCTTAGAGATCAAAGCACATATGGTTTATTGCATAAATATATATAGTGCATTGTTAAACACCATTTCAGAGGCACAGTTTATTCACCTTCTTCAGAACATAAAGCATGGAGTGAGCAAAAGGCATCTATCCATTTCACCCACTCTAAAAGACCATGCAAAACCATCTCTAATTCATACAGATTACTTAGTATCTGAATAGGTATCTATCCCTACAACTCCATTATTCTTTTCTGGCCTCCCTCATGCTACAGACAGTTTTCCCCAACTCCCCTTGAACTTTGCAACACACAAATTATTGAAGGATTTTTCATCACATATCCTCTAAAACTGTTCCCAAGCACATATCTCCTAGCCCTAAAGCCCAGATAAAATTTGTCATTCATAGCTATTTGTGGGACATTGCTACATGTAAATTGACTGCTACATTTACCTACAAAATACACAGTCACAACACTTCACAATAAATTTAGTGAAGCACTTTGCATGATTTCAACAATGATAATCCTTCCTTATTGAATGGAAGGATATACACATTCCTAGTCTTGTTTTGTGTAAAAAGGAGTGAATGGATCCATCAACTGTTTAGGAGTCTGTTCCACATATCCCCCGTTTTGTAAGAAATTTATATCTCTAGTTCTGCTTAAAGCTTTTAATTTAAATCGTATAGCCTCTGGTAATGCCCTCCTGGTCCAAAACAATTAGTCCACTGATACCAACATTCTCCTCACCTCTCGTCATTTTAAAGACCTGAATCATTCCTCCCCTCAATAATTTTTCCAATGAAAGCAAATGTCTCTCTGCGTAGCATAACAAATCTCATGCTAAATCCCAGAATCAACTTTGTTGCTCTTCTCTGTGCTCCATCCAATACCCTTTTGAAGGAAGTATTCACAGATGTGGCCTCACCGCTGATCTATACAAGATCAGAATAACTTATTTTTACTGATAGACAAATACCAAGTATTTGATTAGCTTTGTTGCCAGCAGTTTCACATTTAATGAAAATTTCAAAGAATGAAAGGTGCAGTATTTAGATCTTTAACTTTTCCATCTTTCTGGATGGACACCTCTTTATTGTGCACATGTTTCGAGTTTCCTGTTCCAACATACACAGTATTGTTTTCAAGACTTACAATAGTGTTTTTTCCCCCCCAAAACAATTTAATTTTCATGATTTCTCCAAATCGTTCCAAGGCAACCTTTTGGAATTAAACAGTTAAAATATCCTATTATGGATTTGGAATAGCTTTTTTTAAAAATAATGATTCATTTATATATTGAGAAGTGAATTCTGCTACTGAAAAATGGTAAACATGTCAGCAATTTCTTCAGTTTAAATGATTTCAGTTTGGCTGCATTTACGGCAAGGAGCTCTTTACAAATGCAACTCATAAATCAATTATTTTTGTTAGGCAGCCAAGGTAAACCTTATCAAATTGTCACTGTGACAACCACAAGCCTGAAATACCTCATGTCTAATGTTGAATAGAAAGGGAAAACGTTGCCATATTAGGCAGTTTAATAAATGACCTGAATGAATTCTTGATTTATTTCTGGTACACTGGATAAATAGAACCAGCTGATCTCCCTGGAAGAGAATTAGAGCTAGAATTTTTTTTAATAACTATTACACAAGAACATTATCCACCAAACCTTGTTGGTTTGATGAATGAAAGCTGCAACCATAGAACAAAATAGTTGTGAATTTGTAGACAATTAAATATTTGCATTGGACTCTTTGAAATCATTACAATGTGGAATTCAATGTTTGACTTTCAACCAGCCCAAATGTTTTTAGATTCATGTTTGAAGGTGTAATGAACTTTTGTAAAGAGCGTTTTCCTACAAATATATCGTTTTGTGCATTCTGTGGTACTTTACTTTGTAAAGGTCAAACAAACGCCCTCAGAGTTACTCCATTATGGCTTATAGCCAACAATATTTGCTAGTGGGCATGTATGTAGTAGACATATTGACAATCTTTTTGTTCTGTTCATGTTCTGTTACATCTTGAAACTAGTGTTCCTGTTGGGAGGCACAAGAAAAGGTGTGGAGAATACAACAGGAGACATTCTCTTGCTACAATCAATAGGGGAAATGGAGGTACTTCATACAGTAACATTTTCTGCCTCATCCTCTGACTAATGAAGTTTGGATGCTCTTAAGCACGGTGATGGGTTTCCGTATGCATCAAGACACTCGGCTAACCCAAACAAAATCTCTGACCAGTGGCAATGTGGAACAAATAGTTCTTGAAAGCATGAACAAAAAAAATTTGAAATCAAATGTCCGGGATTGTTGATTTCTTTCCCTCAGCTGATAGAAGTTGAATTTGTTTGCAAAATCATGAATGAAAAAGAGAGTGTGTCCAAACAGGATGGAAACAGCACAGAACTTGCATTGCACAAAGTGACAGAATTGTAACTTTGTTACTGGTCTTGTGAAAACATCACATATTTTGATAAGCTTTTAAGTCTTTAAAATGTGAAATCTGTATCGCAGATTGTTTTGATAAATAAAAGGTGTGTTGATAAATATTTCAACTGTATCTGAACTGGCAACCCTTTCAAGTTTCACAATGTTTCTTGCCACAGTCACACATTCAAGTCTTATCAACAACATTACCCAAGATTAGTGGTAAACAGCGAGCAAAATAGAACAGTTTTTTAAAATGAGCTCATCTTTAAAAGATGAGATGGGAAGAAACTGGTAATCACCACACAAAGCTTGTTTTCCTAGAGTTTGGGCTCACAGAGATGAACACACGTCTACACTTCCAGCACTCATTGTTTAGTCAGACTTGCTGGTGAGTCATCAACAATGCACTGAATTATTGAACCCTCGGAGCCAGTTCTATCCTAAAGAGAACCAAACTTTTACACACATATATACACACACAAATGCAACACAACTCTACTTCTAACACCCAGTGACAGCACAGAGCATTAACACAGATTAAACACTGTGCAAAGCCTCTTTTGCTTAGTAACAATGATGTGCTTTGACTTATAAACTGAAAAGAAATGCCTGAATAATCTATTTTCCCATTTGTCACAGCAGTCATCCTGTTTTGCTTTTTGTTGTGATACTGCCAATTTAATACAAAATACAGTTCTACTAAAATATTGGCAGGTTAGTCCGGTCAACTAGGAACTAGGGTAAGTTGCCATATCCACTTTACTTCAAAGTGTTCAGCTGTAGAGTATGGCCAGACCCAGGTGGATTGACAGGAATGGATTAACTTCAGTTTACGATCCTAAAATAACTGTACATTTCAGCAAAACTGAGTGTCCACAAATCCATGTAGTGCACAGCGCATTTCTTTACCCAATTATCCTATTTTCATCTTATTATTGTTACATTGTTAGCAAAATTTACCGAACATTGAAATAAAAAACAAATGTCTTGTAAAAAAGACATTTTTGCAGGTTTTGGTAACTTTCCTTTTCTCGTCTCTACGGTTATCACTAAAAACTGTACAAAGTGGTTTGAAAACTTACTAGTTCAACGTAAATAATGGTGAATAATGACGGCAAAGTTTTAATTTGGTGTAGAATAGTATTTGGAGCAATCCTGGGCTATCAGAGCAATAATGGAATCTATGAATGTCTCTGTTGGGCGCTATCATGTGAGATTGCCTTATTTTATATTGTACCATATGCAAATGAGAATACAGATATACAGTTGCAAATGAAATATGGGTGGGGGGCGAGAGAGAAAAGAAGAGTACTGAGGTTGCAGAACTAATGTCAATAACCTATTCCTAACAGCAGAATTATTATGTGATGAGAGGTTATAGATGTTCCATAATTATACCATCTGACATGCTCTTTAACATGAAAATAGTAAAACGATTTTACAAAATCTACTGAAACCATACTGAAACACAGCTATTTGTTTAGAAGTCTTCATATGTGTCAATCTAATCAGGGATCATATTCAGTAACACATACATTTTGATCATTTCCTATCAATGAATCTATCATTGTCAGCAGCTTTGGCCATTTAAATGTTCCGATTAACAGAACCTACATTAAACTGACTGCTGCTGTACAGAAATGCTTCCTTATAATGCAAATGTAAAACTTTAATACCTGCAACACCCTGTACAAAGCTTTAATCCAGAGATAACCTACATTCCAAATGACGTTGGAACAGCGAACTAAGGACATGTAAGCAGCTTCTGTGCCCTTTTATGAAAATCTACCCAGTCATTTAAAAGCCTTTACTCACATAACACCACGTATTTCTACTTAATTTTACCCAGACACCTTTTACTGCTGTAGGTGCTAACCAGTCCATAAAGACTACTCATTGTTTAATATTTTTTCTGTTTCTTTGTTCAGATTTTTCTCAAAGCAATCAAATCAAAAATCCAATCTTATTCATCTATTTCATCTGTAAAATACATCTCAAATCCTTTCTTCCAACATTTGCTCATTTCAATACAACATTGCTTTTGCCAATTTACTTGCCTTGAATGTCTATATATTTTTAAAAAAGCCTCAGGTTAATATACAGGAATATGGTCAGTTTCTATCGGTCATTCTGAATTATTCTCTTCCTTGTATGTTATGTAATATTAACAACAAATTACATTTGTGTAGCGCCTTTCATGTCAAGAGGACGTTGGACAGTCAGGGATCTGCACCCGAGCTGGTGTTTGCAATCAGGAGGGGTGGAGGGTAGGGAGGGTAGGGGTGGGAGGGTGACCGAAGGCATGGTCAAAGAGGAGGGTCTTGAAGGAGGCAAGAAAGAGGGTGAGGTGGAGGGACTCTGAGGTGGAGTTTCAAAGGGTGGGGGCTGAAGGCCCACCCGCCAATGATGGGGCGGGCAAGGCAGGGATGTGAAACAGGCCGGAGCCCGCTGACAGGTTGGTAGGGGGTTAGGAGGTCACAGAGGTATGGAGGAGCAAGACTGTGGAGGGTTTTGAAGGACC